GGGGGGGGGGGGGGGGGGAGGGAGGGGGATAGAAGAGTGAGTGCGGATATATCGGATTGTTTATTGCTTAACGCCAGGTCGTTTTTGGTCCTGTGTATAAGGAAGGACGGATGGACGGACCGCTGACCAGTTTGGTCCTTTGTCGCATTCCTGCTTGCTCGTTCGTTCGTTCTTGGCCTCATTGCCTGCCTGCCCATATTCTCATCTTCTCACCTTGTCACCTTCTCGTCTTCTCATCTTCTCGTCTCACCTCACCCCATCCATCGTCCTGTCGGCGTGAGTTTGTTGTCCGTCTGTCTGTCTGTCTGTGTGGGTGTGTGCATGTCTGTCTGTCTGCCTGGTGTGTTGTGTACCCTGGCGGGCAGGGCATGTGCCATGTGTGTGTGTGTATATGATCGATCCATCGATTCGATCCACCATCAATCACATTTCATCAAAGCACTGGCTGCATTCATCACACACAGCTCTTCGTTTGCATCAGGAGCAACACACGTGCAGCGGGCGGGGGCCTCGTGGTGGGGGTGGTGTGTGTATGTGTGTGTGTGTGTGTGTGTGTGAGGGAGGGAGGGAGGGATCGGTGGGGAATGCTGATCGAGCATCAGTCACATGCATCTCATGGGGGCACCGTCCGTGGTCTGTGAAATGAGCAGCAACATTTAATGGCCCTTTCAGGTCGCACCGTAGTGTATGTTGTGTGGTTGTATGTGTCGTCTCTATGTGTGTAAGTGAGTGAGTGCATTTGTGCGACATACGGACGGACACCTGAAGGTTTGGCTTTCACCTCACCTCAAACCAATAATCCTTAACATACACACATATGGATGGATGAGACGGGTCTGTGTCGTCGGTCGTCAATCAGGCAGGCATCGCACTAGCTGCACTCGTTCGTGTCCTGTGCAGTCAGTGCATGGATCGAGCCACGCGAGCAGCCAGCCATGCATCCACTCAATCCACCGATTGAGCCATCCCTTCGCAAAGCACGTCATCAAGCTATGCTACCATCCATCCCTCGGCTTACATGCAGTGAGGGGTGGACTGACCACGCGACACCTACAGATCATCATGGTGTGATGCATCAACATGTGTCTCAACATGGACGTGCAGCGCTCGTGAGAGAGCGTATAAGCCGCTCACGCACGCTGCCTTCTACGCTCTCTCACGCACGCTGCCCGCCCCTGCCGACCGACACGGCGATGCATCCATACATACCATAGCATACATACGCGGTGAGAGAGACGAGAGGAGAGAGGCACCCTGACAGGAACGATTGATGATCGTGACGTGCAACCAGCCAGCAGAAAAAGTAACAACCAGGCCAACACTTGCCCAGTAAACAGTCACTGTACATCCATCCATCCATCCATCGGCCATACAGTCAGTCAGTCGGGGCAATCAATGGTATGCTATCCACCCATGCTAGCTAGCTATTGGCGCAAGAAGGAAGGTCCGCTGCCTTTGACCCGCCTCTGCTGCATTATGGCCGCCGCCGCTGTGGGAGTGACCTGGGCCAGGGACGGCGGACGGCTCCGGTACTGCAGCAGCTCCGGGGGGGTGGCCCGCCAGTACTCCTCCAGCTTCCCGTGGCAGTTGGTCAGAGACGACTCAGGCTCCCAAGTCTCGCGGTAATCTGCGCACACACACACACACACACACCACAGCAAGGCAACCAGGGAGTATTGTCTGTCGTCGCGCTTCAGGGGTCTGTCTGGTGCGGTGGCAGACTGACCTTTCCACTGGATGAGGTACTCGCGTTTCTGTGGCGTCGGCTGGCGGTGCGCCAGGATCCGAGACACCTCGTACTCACCTGATGCATGGATCGATGGATGGATGAATGGATGGATGAATGGATGAAGGATGAACACCAAAACAGGTAGGTGGTGCGGTATGGGTGGGAGTGTTCGTTGATGCGACTGACCACCCACTCCTCTCACTCACTCACTTACGTCCGTCGTGTTTGTCATCGTCTTCCTCGGCCTCCTCCTGCTCTTCGTTCCCTCCCCCCTCCCCGCCCTTGCCGCCCTGCACCCTCCTGCGCTTCACGTCGCTGCTCTCGTCCCTCTCCCCGCCAGTCAGTGTCGCGTGCGAATCTCCTCCCTCCAGCTCGTCGCCCATCTCAACCTCCACAAGACCTCCACCACCTGCAGCACGCCGCTGCCTATCGTGGACCCCACCGTCCAGCCCCCACACGCCAGCCGCCCCCTCGGCCTCCTCGACGTCGCCCAGCTCGATGGTGCCCATCCCCGTGCCCACGTCAGGACAAGTAAATGAGTTGGGAAGCTCTTCTCGTTTCCTCGTCAGCATGGGGGAGTGCTGCTTGCCGCGAAACTTCCTCATACGCGGGTTGCCGGCCTCCGCCCTTGCCTTGGCCGCGACCGGCAGCTGGAACACGCTGGCCTCGGCGCGCTTCAGGGGGCTGGGGTAGTAGGGGGGCCTGCTACTACTGGGGCCCTCTGGGTCGGGGACCACCCTTCTGCCAGGCTGGATGGGGCCGATGACGACTCGTGCAATGATGAGGTTGGTGGGCGATGCGATGATGCGGCCGACGGGGAAAGGGGACTGGGCGGCCGTGTGCATGAGGTGGCCTATCTTGCGCTCGAGGGCCTTTTTGTCCCATGACGACGGCAGGGCGCCCGACGCCTCCTGCTCGGCCATGGACGGCAGCTTGTGCGCCTCGCGCGCCTTGGCCTCGTAATGCAGCCAGGGGGACGACCGCAGCACCTCTGACCACGTCTGAGCGATGAGATGAACCCAACAACCACAACGACACACAGACACACAGGCGTATTGCAGTCAGACGAACAAACAGGAGAGACTCTGTCTTCTCGGTTGTCTCCCGCCCTGCACTCACCATGTAGTTGGGATGAGTCGCAATCTCGCTGGCCAGGCTGAAGCCGAAGCTTGTGTCGGGTGCAGCGGGCGCCCAGACGCCGGATCGCCACCAGGCCACTGCGTTTGCCCAGGCCGCGAACCGGCCGCTCTTATGCACGCCGATGGTGGCCCCCTCCATGAGCCAGATGGACGTCACGGGGTCCTCTGCGGCCGCCTCCACACGCACAGGCCCCGCAGGCAGCCCCGGCGTCTCCATGATGATCTCCAGCTCCTCATCGCCATCGCCGTCACCATCGCCATTGCTCCCGGCCGGTTTGAGTGGGTTGGCCAGGCGGACGTCGTACTGGGCCTCGATCTCCGCCCGCCTCATGGCCTCCAGCTCCTCGTCGGTTGGCGGCGGCGGCACGGTGGGGTGTGCCTGCTCGGGTGAGGCTGACGCCGCTGATGCTTCTGGGTGAGGGAGTGGTGGTGGGGGGGCGGGCTGCTGGTCCTGCTGCCACCATGCGAGCGTGCTTGGCGTGTCGGGGTGCCTGAGGGACTCGCTCATCACCTGACATGACAGACGGAACGAACAAGGAGAGTGCGAAGGGCCCATCGCCTGCCCGCCCATCTATCTTTCCTATCTATGCCGATGTGTTCTTGCGTGTGTGTGGGGCTGGGCTGAGGCTGAGGTACCTTGAGTTGGAAGGTGGGTGTCCACTCGACTGGAAGGGGAATGTGTGGCCGCAGCCTCGACGACAAGGGGACGCCGTCGACCCGCGTGTTCCACTCGTGCACTATGCCGTCGTCAGTCACGGCCACGTAGTCGCCGCAGCACTCGGCCACATCCAGCACCTTCTTCCCCCTTAGCGAGCCGAGCAACTGCCAGGCCAGCAGTCACCACACCAGGGCGCACACAGCACAACACACACAGAGACATAAGCCTTGCAGACACAGTGGAGGGGTCATTGCCTGGTTTACCTACCTGGTCTATCGTTGCCTTGCGGGTTTCGGCGTTAATGGTCCACCGCCAGAGAGAGCCGTTCTCCAGCAGCACCGCCCCGCCCCCGGCCGCAGGGCCACACACAACCTGACATCACACAGACAGAAAGGAACACACATACAGCCCCTCCCTCCCTCCCTCCCTGTCTCCCGGCGTGTCCACCAGACCTTGGTCGGCTTTGCAGGGAACTTTTTGAATCTGATGAATGTGTGTGGGCCCTTGATGAACAAGCAGGGCGTGACCTCCACCTCCCCCTGGATGCGCGCAGGCAGCGCCGCCACCCGCGGGACGGCAATGACCGCCATGGACGGCTCGGCGGGAGGCGGCTCGTGGCAGATCTCCCCCATGCTGGCGGTGGTGGCGCCGTTCTGCACCACATGGCCGTCGTGCTTGAAGGTGAAGTAGGTCTGGTGCAGCTCCCACGCAGGCAGCCGACACCGCTGCTCGTCGCCCCTGACCCAATGAAGCTGCCCGTCCTTGGTCAGCGCCGCCAGGAAGAACCTGTCGGGGGGGCGGGGCTGGATGAGCAGGGTGTCCTTTTGCCGATCAGCGATGGCAGCAGGGTCGGCCTGTCGCCAGTCGTCGCGCATGCACGAGCCGGCGAGGTGCAGCGATGCGATGTCGAGCTTGCGGAAGGCCGGGATCTCCTCCCACGTGTCGCAACCCGTTGACACACCATGGTGGCTGCATTCATGGCACAGCGGCCGAGCAATGAGTGCGTTGGAGTTGCTGTGCTGTGATTACCTCTGCCTCCACAACAGCACCCGGCCGTCGGCCAGCAGGACGGCTATGTGCCATCTCGCCACCGCCACGTCCTGCACCAGACCACCGTTGGACGGCAGCGACGATATTGGCGAATCGTGAAGCAACAAACCCTTACAAAGAAGAGAGACCACCAACGATAACATGAGTGCAGAGGTGTGTTTGTGTTGGTTGGGTCAGCCCGCCCCGCCCACCTGTCCCAACTTTGCGCTCGTGGCCTCGGTGCTGCCCGCCTCCTCTAAGTCATCGTCTAGCAGCCGGAGGTTGCCCGTGGCGGCGCCCTTCTTGGCGGCCTGGAACAACGGCCCGTAACCCAAATACTCCTCCCCCACCTCTGACCGACACACCAAACCAACACAACACAAGACGTCCGTCAACGCACACCACCATCCACCCGTTCCCCCTCCTTCCGTCCCTATGCCATGGACACAGACAGATAGACAGATACCCACCTGGTGGAGCCTCCTGCGTCTCCTCATCCTCCTTCTCCTCCTGGGTCAGATCCACAGTATCCATCCGATCCATAAACTCCACGCCAGCACCAGCAGCAGCCTGCGGGCCGGCACGGCTCTTGGGCGGTGGGGACGGTCTTGCCACCAGCGAGATGACTGGTGGTGTCGGTGGGTGAGGGGTCGTCGGCGGCCTCACCCAGGCCACAACCGATGGTGGGCGACCCCGTGGCCGCCCGCCGTACCCTCCCGCCGACCTAAGTGTCCCACCAGGTCGCATCCCGGGCGTCACACGCGGTGGTGGGGGTGGGGGAGGGGGTGCCGGTGCACAATACACACCACCCCCACCGGCAGGTGCACTGGTGGCGATGGTCGGCCTGCCCTGCTGCACGATAGTTACCCTCCCGGCCGGCCCGAAGTCACGGGGTGGTGATCCTGTTGCCAATGGGGGCCGCACGGGCACTGGAGGGATGACCACAGGTGCGCCAGGAGCTGCTGCTGCTCCCGATAGCGGCAGATGCGGCGGCGGCGGGCGCTGTGTGGACTGACGCAGCAGTATGGAAGACCGAGGAGGCATCCTCAGAGTTACCACCGGACGCGGTGGCGGTGGCGGCGGCAACGGCCTGTCCTCGTCCGAGGGATTCATGGCTGCTTAGCATGCGATGGGCGTCGACGCTGGGGGGGCACCCTCAGCACCCGAATGATATAGACGAGAGGGATCTCCCACACCACAGCTGCAAGAGTCAACTCGCGGAACCGGCTAATGAGTGACCAGCACGGCGCGTCAGGGTACGGCGGCTGCAACCAGGTTTCCTCGCATTCTGCTCGCGATCCGTCCACAAGCTCGCATCTATCGAGGGGGCAGGAAGAGTAGCGTCCTTCAGTCGCCCTTCTGTAGCATGCGCATCGTCCCGTCTGCTCGTTGTACCAGGTTGATCTGACCGAGATGGATAGCGACGCCCATCCGACGAGATCTGCAGCCGGCAACAAGCCACACGACGAGTCCGATGCCGTGGCAGCTGCGGCGGCCGGCATGGACGACGACGCACCCCAGATGAATGGCGATGCGGCAGGCCACGACACAGACGACCAAGGCGATGGCAATGCAGCCAATGGCATGCAGGTGGGGAGAGATGATGACAGACACGTGCGCACCAGACACGTGACTGACTTGCTCTTTGTGCCTTTTGGTCGCTGCAGGCGGCGAACGGCGTGGGTGACAGCGGCATGGGTGCTGCCGCACCATCCCCCGGCATCATCGGCCCTTCCGGCGGTGACCAGCAGTCGCCACCCACCGAGGTCTCACCTCCCTTCGTCGACGCAGTCCCACCTCACAACGCTGCAGCAGCAGCTGCTGCAGCGGCAGCCATCCCACCAGCAGCAGCGGTCGCTGCTGGCCCACCGCAGCTCCCCACCCCACCTGTGACTCACGAGGAGGACGATGAGATTCATCAGGGGGGAGGGGAAGAGGAGGAGGAGGAGGACAGCGGCATGGCCGTGGACGATGAAGGTCTGCCGTCGTCGATCGGCAACGAGACCAACATCGCCGCCAACGGACACCAACAGGTGGTGCGGGGCAATGGGCTGCAGGATCTCATCGGCGGTGACAAGGAAGACCGAGAGGGAGAGGGAGGGGGTGAGGGTCGTGGTGACAGTGAGGAGGGTGGCATGACGCATGAGGGGACCCACGACCGTGAGGGTCTCAAGATGTTCGACGGCTTCGACGAGGGCATGGGCGGTTTGGGAATGGGCGTCGGAATGATGAGGCTGGGTGGGAATGGCGGTGGGGGTGGGCTCCAGGCGCGGCGGCTGGTGCCCGCCGGGGGGTCTAAGAGGGCCGCTGTTCCTCAGAAGAAGCGGGGACGGCCACGCAAACAGGAGGACGGTACGACAAGGACACATGGATGGATGGATGGATCGGTGTGTGTGTGTGTGTGTGTGTGTGTGTTGCTCCTTGCTTCAGAGGTCACTGAGCGTTACCTGGCCTGCGGCCCGCTGTTTCGGACCCACGCGCTTCATTCTGCGCTTCAGACGGGGCAGGTAGACAGACAGACAGATGGGCCACACACAGCAGACCTGTGTGTGACTCATGTACTGTTTGTTGTCCTTCAGGGTGACGAGAGCCTGTCGGGCGGTTGTGTGTATCTGGAAGACACGGTCATGTTTGACTCCCTGCCCTGCCAGCCTGGAGTGGGCATCCGGGACATCGCTGTGGCGCGCTGGCACGTCGCCGTGCTCATGTCCACCAGCCAGGTCTTCTTGTGGCGCCAGAGGTACGCAGCATACACCAGGCGACGCCACTTAGCCACTCACACACAAGTGTGGGTGCTATGTATGCTGATGTGTCTGTTTGTCCTTTCCTTCACAGTCATGACGACGTTATCGATGGCTGCAACTGCTGGGAGGAGATTGAGGGCTTCCGCGAGCTGGATCTCACCACCATAACCATCGCAGGCAGCGCACTCGACGCCCCCCCAGGAATGCCCGACAGGTTCTTCATAGCCGGCATCTCACGCAAGGGTATGCAATGTCACAATCACACACACGGGGAATGGACCCAACTCTCTATTTCTATCTCTAACTCTCTGCCCCTGTCTGTCCTTCCCCCATACAGGTGATGTCCATTACACCTCGGGCCACCTGGACCAGCCCGTGACGGAGCCACACGTCACCAAGACCGACCTGGAGTTCAAGATGGCCGCCAACCCCTTCGCTCACCGCCCACCGGACAGCGGCGCAGAGGTGCACGTCCCGGCGTTCGCCCTCTCCCTGTCCATGCCCGACATCACCGAGGAGCCGCCCCGCACCGAGCCGAGCATGGCGGTGCTGGCCAAGCCCAGGACGGGCCTCAGGATGAGCGAGGCGGACCCCAAGAAGATTGACTCCAACATGGCGCTGTTCGTCAAGGGGCCAGATGTCTACATTCGTTTCCGCAGGTTCCCATCACCTCCGGAGAAGGTCGGCGGGGTGGGGGGAGGGGTGGTAAGAGGAAGGACCGACCAACACAAGCTTGGGGCGGGCGGCATTTAGAGTCTCTCTCTCTCTCTCTCTCGCTCTCGCTCTCTCTCTCTCTCTCTCTCTCTGTGTGTGTGTGTGTGTGTGTGTGTGTCAGTTGGTGTGTGGCCCCAAGGCGCACACAGGTGTGGTGCTCTTGGCCAATGGCCACGTGTGGCAGTGGCGGCCTGACATGGACGGCGGCTCCAAGACACCCAGCCATTACCCCAGCGGCAAGATCAAAGCCAAGATGATCCAGGTGGGGTGGGTGAGCTCAATGACGTCACGTCGCTTGTGTGTGTTGGTCGCTCTGTCTGTCTGTCTGTCTGCTGGGTGCGGTGCAGGTGAAGGGTCCGCTGTTCGTTGAGGGGCTTGGCCGGCTCGTGCGTGACATAGCGGCTGTCGGCAGCGAGTGCATTGCCGTCACCAAGGACGGCATCATATACGAGTGGAACGGTACGGTGAGCAACACAAACACAACAAACACCATTGCCCCGGCCCTGCCATCCGTCCGGCCTGTCTGTCTGTTGATGCAGGCGACCATCAGGCGCGGCAGCTTTGGCGGCAGTACATCCCCGAGCCCATCGAATGGACACCACACTTCACCAGCGAGGTACGGTGCGCCACACGTGTGCCTCATCGACCGACCGGCCCTTTCTCCATGGACTGCACTTTGTCTGTCTGTCTGTCTGTCTGTCTGTCGCAGTTTTCCTTGGGCAACATGTCTGCGTCCTATGAGCTGAATGGCCTCGCCAACCCCGAGTGGTGGAAACACGCACACATCGCCAACCCCACCACAGACCGATTCGGGTAGGGTAGGGTATCCACGCTCACGCATCATTTGCCAATGTGCCCGGCCCATCTGTCTGTCTGTCTGTCTGCCTGCCTGCAGGATGGAATCCTCTGCTGCAGGAAGACCACCATTCTCGGCCGAGCGTCAGCTGGAAGAGGCCCGCCGGCGCGAGGTCGAGCAGCTCTACGGCGTCTCTCTGTACCCTCTGCCCCTTCAGCCCAGCCCCCCCAACACCCAAGACAGCAGCGGCAGCAACAACGTCGCCTCACACCCACCCGAGCAGTCCAACATGCCCGACCCACAATTCCAGCCTGTCAGTGTCCGCGTGCGGCGCGACCCCGACCGCATCAGCCGTGTGTGGCTGTGCGAGGGGGCCACCATCTGCATGACCGAGTCGGGGCGGCTGCGTGTCATCGGCAATGCGCTGGGGGGCGGACAGCGGGACGCGCAGAAGGTCGCTGAGTCGATCAGGGCGGGGACTTCGATATGTGGGATGATTGACGGGGAGCTGTTCACGGGGCCGCCGTTCCTCCAGGCTGAGAACCAAATGCGCGAGGTGAGTGAGCAGCCAGCCAGGCCAGAGAGAGGGATGCGATGCGCACGGATCCGCTGACTTGATTGATGCTCATGATGTGCTGTCTGTGTTGGTCAGGGTCGGAACCGCCCGCTTCGCATGGTGTGGCGTGACGACCTTCCCTCCCCCTCCCCGCGTGCAGCCGCCCCCCTCCCCGTGGGTGCCTTCATCGAGTCTCAGGACGAGGCAGACGCCATCCAGGCCGCAGCACGCAGAGAGCTCGAGAAGAAGGCCCGGCAGACCACCCGCACCTACGGCAGAATCGTCACCGGCGGCGGCAACGCCATCATCGCCACACTCCACATCACATCCAAGACCCCCACACAGGCGACATCTCGTCACGTGCACGCCGCTGCCGCCGCCGCCGCAGCAGCAGCAGCGGCAGCGGCAGCGCCAGAAGAAGAAGAGGCGGCTGCGGACGATGGCCACGACGACTCATCCGGCGATGGGGGCATCGTGCGGATGGTTCGAATGAAGACCGGCCCGACCCCGAAGTCGAGGGCCAAGGTGCTTGGCAGGGGCAGGGGCAGGGGCAGGACCCCCCGCGTGTCGAAAGGTAGAGGTGGTGGTGGTGGTGGTCTGGGCCCGACCAACCTGACACTGGCTGAATGCCAAGAGATGGGCGTGCACGGTGCAGCCAAGAGCATGGCCAAGCGGCCCTCACGCGACAGCAGCCTCGAGCTCAGCAAAAAGGGCACCAAGAGGGGCCGAGAGACCGGCAGGGGTGGTGGTGGTCGTGGGCGGGCCCAGGTGAAGCATGGGGGGTTCAAGAGGAAGGGGTCGCCAGCCCGCAAGAAGGCCAAGAAGGTCAAGCTCGAGGAGGAGGTGGTGGATTTGGACCATGACACAGATGAGGATAGCGATGGTGACGAGGAGTGGGAGGTGCTCAAGATCGTGGGCCACAGGTACGACCGCCGCGGCAACCTCGAGTTCAACGTCATGTGGAAACCAGGCAAAAAGGGAGAAGGTCAGTGAGTGAGTCACTACACACGACATGCATCACATCACATCACATCACACGCTTTGTGCTGTGTTGCATCGATCCATCGGACGGTTGTGGTGTGGTGTCATCCATCAGTGTGGCCGTCGACGTGGGAGCCCGAGAGCAACTGCGCCAACTGTCCGGACTCGGTGGACGAGTACTGGCAAGCAAAACTCTAGTCAGTGGGTGGCCTGGCCATCCATGCCATCCGTGTGCGGTGAGCTCACCCTCAACACATCCGTGTGTGTATCCCATCCCCCTGTGTGTGGGCGGGTGGGAGGGAGGGTTGAATTTGTGTGCCTGCCTGCTGTGGAGAGAGGACCAGCGTGTAGTGTATTGAGCCGCCAACAAGTGGAGACGACACACACACAGACATCACAGACACCCATCTGGCCGTGCTATGCTGTGCTGACCTGCGCTGCCCTTTTCTGACTGACGAGTGCAGTGCAGTGCGCATTTCACATGTGTTCAGCTGTCCGGGAAATGGATTGAGAAGGCCAGCACGGCACGGCACGGCTGTGGGGGTCGGATCGATCAGTCGGTCGTTTCATTTCACATCACACACACAGGGAGGGAGGAAGGGAGGCGCACACGCACCCGTTGTACGTGCAGGCAGGTGATTCTTGTTGCTTAGAGGGAGGTGAAAGTGAGGGGAGGGGTGGTGGGGTGCGTGTGTCTCTCTCTCCTGTCTGTCTGATGCATGCCATGCTGGCGTGTGGCGTGCCTTTGGTTAGTAAAAGGTGCGTTGGACGGACGGCCGGACGGACGGACAAACTCGTGGCATGATCTGGTCCCTGTAACTGTTTTAACTTCGGGATCGATACGATGGATGGATGGCCTGCTGGAGGCCATCAGCAGGGGGAAGACTGAACGCATACTTCGATAGGTCCAAACCATCCACAATCCAACCATCCATCCATCCATCCAATCCACCGCAGGCAGACCAGACACCCACACGCACTCACTCTCCCGCACTCATGCACTCACTCATGGATCCACCCACAACCGTCCAATGCAAGCAAGCTGTACAATCAGAAGCCCCTCCTCCCTCCCCCCTCTCTAGCTCTCTGTCTGTCCTCCGTGCTCATGGGCGGACGGGGCAGCCTCCCTCCAGCCCGTCGGATGAGTTGCTCTCCTCGCTCTCATCCCCCACAGTGGTACTACCGGGGCACATGGAGCCCGTGCTATAGTAGGAGCCATGTCTCTCTCTGTCCTTGTTTGTATCTATCATGCCATTGCCAGTGGCGGGCGCGCTCCCGCGCCCCTCCTCTATGTCTGCACGACGCTTGCTGCCGCAGCTGTCCCTCCGCCGATTCTCCTCTATCTTGGCGTAGCTAAACAGGAATGCCCCCGAGAAGGACACCGCCAGCCCACTGAGGTAGCCGAAAGACAGGTCCACGTCGGGGAATAGGATGATGCCCAGCACGTCTGTGGTGAGGGCCTTGAGGTTGCCCGTCACCGTCACCGTCACGGGCGAGGCGAATTGGTTCGCCAGGATCGTTGAGTAGGCCAGCAGCGCCCCCAGCACGAGGGAAAGGCTGAAGGAGGCGACGAACCCGGGGCTGTGGAAGAGCGTTGAGGAGCGGAGGGCCGTGAACTCGCCGCAGAGGGCGCCCCAGGCCAGCAGGAGCGGGATGAAGCAGAGGGACTGGTATAGCAGGAAGGAGATGGACGTCTCCTCCCGCCGTCTGTCGAGCTGCTGCAGGTCCCGCTTCATCTGCACCAGGAAGGCCGCACAGAAGACGATGGACACCGACACGTACAAGACGCCCATCGCAGTGAGATACAGGTCGGCCCACGTGGTGATGGCCGCACCGACGGCCTGCACCACCACCGACACCCAGATGAGACCCGACGCCACGTAGCGCAGGAACAGATACTCTCCGATAAGCGTGACGACGCTCCCTGCCCGTAAAAAGGCGCTGTTGGTTGGGATGTTGAGATAGGAGAGGCTCCAGAGGCCGGCGACGATCCGAATGAAGTTGTATAGCGACTGGGGCAGGAGCTCCAGGGCTCTGTCTAGCGTTATGGGCGGGAAGCTCAGCCACCCAATCTGCTTGAGCAGCACCAGCACCACAAGGGTCAGCAGGTTCTGCAGCAGCAGCATCACGTTGACCAGGGTGAAATGGTAAGACGTCAACACCACCTGCACACACAATACAAGACACCACACCACACCACACAACCACGACGGAGGGAGGAGAACGAACAGGGTTTGTGTGATGGATGCGGCAGTGCAGTGGAGTGCGCATTCTCGGGTTGGTCACTCCCATCCCAGCGGTATGTGTACCTTGTTGAATATCGTCGTCCCCACACTCACTGCAAAGTAGAAGGCATTCGCCAGAAAGGCGAAGAGCAGGGCCTTTTGCGATGCATTGAGGCCGCGGGAGGCCCGGGAGAGGGCCCACTTGGCCAGTTCGGGATGGTCATCCTCCTTGATGCTGTAGCGGACGTCCTGCGTGACCAGAGGGGAGCCTTCTGCGGTGCTGGCACGGGTGGACAGGGTGGGAGGAGTGAGGGGGGCGCGGGGACGACTATCAGGACGACGAAACATTGTGCCTTTGTTGCTGGATAGAACGCTGAGGCGAAGGGCCTGGCCTGTCCAGGATTTCTTGGCGAGTTTTCAATTTTGCGAGCTTTCGTCCGCCCGATCCGAGAGATCTGGCCAAATGGACGGCGAAGCGATCAGTCCTAGTGTTCAGCAGACAGAATTGCTCGCGAAACTGCGCCATCTATCCATGAGGATGGCGCAGAAGATCTCTCTCGACAAGGGAGAGGTCCCGGACGTCAGGTGCACCATGGAGGAGGATAGCACCATCGGCTCCCTCGCAATGGTGCACCGCCCCCTCATCCATCGCCCGCCCTCCCTGCTGCAGAAGATCCCGACAGACTCGACGGACATCCCACTGCAGACCCTTCCGTCATCTGCCAGCCCCCTGCCGACATCTGAGGAAGACCTGGAGGCCCTCATCGAGAAATGGAAGCTTAGCCAAGATCATGCACACAAGAAGGACGAGAGGTCCCGGGGCAGGCACGCACATCCGAGCAGTGCCGAGATGGAGGGGGAGGGGCAACGGGGGGCTGAGGGCAGCAGCGGGGAAAAGGCGCATCGTGGGTGTCCCTTCGGGGGGTGGGGCTATGCTTCTGCAGACGGGTGTCGGCTGATAGGCCAGCGGCTGCACCGTGCGCAGGCGGACTTCTTTGGTGGTGTGGTGGATGTGTGGGAGAGGGCCCAGCGGATGAGGGAGGGCAGCAGTGGAGACTCAGAGGGCAAGGAAGGATAGACAGACAGACAGACAGACAGATAGCACAGAGTAGAGTAGAGCAGGGCAAGACAAAGGGGCTGGCTAGAGTAGGTGCGTGTGTGTGTGGATGGATGGGTGGGTGGGTGGACCCCTTTCCAGAATGCGTGCAGCATGAAAGCAGACATTCATCTCGCATTAGGTCGGTCACATCACCCATACATACACTAGCCACGGTCACTCTCTTCTGCGACGCAATTGCCTTGGGCGGTTGCATGCAAAGGCGGCATCAAACAATCAGCGTCCTCTCCGAAGACAGAGGGAACGTATTGTGGGATGCGTCCGTCGCAAGGCAAACACCACCCAAGGCACCTGCAGCTCACAGCATCTGAATTTCTCTCATACACACATCACCAACTGACTTGTCTATGGCGATCGTCCATCTGCCTGAATGCCTGTCTGGTGTGCTGGGCTTCGCTCGATAGGGTGTCATGTCAATCAATGGGAAGCGGGCGACGCCTCCACCAGACAGATCAAGTCGAAGTGTGGGGCACAACACACCGGACGGTCAAAAGGACAAAACCACCACACACTGCCCGCCACACACAAGTCGACACGCCCCGCCCCCTTCGTGAATGAGTGCGTCAGCCCAGCCTCTCGCAGTAAGTGGTGGCAATGCGGAACTCGTCGCTCTGGAAGGATGCATACAGCCGCTGCGGCAGCGACACCACACCGCCCACGCCCCCATCCCCACAACCACCATGAGCACCCTTCCTCCCCTCCAACCGCAGCAGATACTCGCGAGCAAACGGCGCCATGCGGGACAGACCCTCCGCTCCCGACAAGCCCCCTTGGTCATCTCGCCGTGCTGCTGCTGGTGTGGCCCTTTGTGGCGCTGGCTGTGGCTGGTGGGATGTGTTGTTGTCGGGCGGCGCGCGCACCTGTATCTGTGGCAGTGGGGGTGCGTCGGGCTGGCCTGATACAGATCGGGGAAGCGTGAAGGGCTGCTGGTGCTGCTGGGAGGGAGGGGGAGGGGGAGGGGGCGTGGGGTGGGGGTGCGGCTGGTCGACAGCGGTGTGCTGATGAAAGGCGGATGTGCTGGCGTTGCAGCGGGCGAAGAACTGGCTCACAGCATTGCGCTCTTCCTGCAGTGAGTGCACCAGACAGACAGGCACAAACAAACACGCCCGTAGAATTGAAGTTGGGTCAAGGATACGTACGTCCAGGGTGGTAGAGGGTGCTCACCTCAGTCGCCACGATGGTCTCCTCTTCACTCATGAGGCGCGAGATGAGCGCCCCCTGTCCCGGCAGCTTGTCGCTCAGCGACGTCGCCACAGCCAGCATGATTTCCCCCTCCTCCAGACCGTCAAGAGCCTCCTGCAACGACCCATCGTTCCGCGGCATCGCCATTCCCACACTGCCCTCCTGCCCCCAACCAGACTGCTCCTTGTCGATGGATCCGGAGGAGGGCGACGGGTGCATGTGTTGGGAGGTGGTGAATGCGCTGGCGATGCGTGTGGCGATGAGCTGGCAGAGGTGGGTGTGGAGAGGCAGGTGGAGGGTGGCCAAAGGCGAGCTGAGCAAGGCGTGCGAGGCGCCTGAGAGGAAAGACGTCAGCAGCTGGGAGGTCAGCTCCACACCTGACACACACACACAGACACTCTCAGACAGACCAACACACGGGGAAAGAATCATGATCCCTCTTGTTTGTTCCCACATCTCACAGACCTGTGAGGTTCTCGAAGTAGTGGAGCGCCATCTCGGCCTCGAAGTCAGGGTTGAACAGCGACAGCGAGTGAGACCCTCCAGCGGCAGCCCTCCCACACTCATCCCACATCCCCTTGAGAGCTGCCATCGCCTCATCTGTCAGCCTGGTGGCCTCGCTCCCCATTGCCGAATAGTACTCGTGCCGCCACGCCACAAAGTCGGTGACAGCGTGACTGGGATACGCTCTCCGATAGGCCTGCGCGTCAGACCTCAGCGGGGCATACAGCATGTCCCTTCTCGCTTCATCCGTCGGCAAAGCGCTCAGCCGCGCCTCGTACAGGATGAGTCCGTCCTCTGTGAGCGGCGGGTGGACCTGCAGCTGCAGCGGTGCGTGGCTGGCATCCTGCTGCTGCTGCTGCTGCTGCTGTCCTCTCCTCTTCATAATGGCCTTCTGGACGATGGCGCAGTTGAGGAGCTGCAGCTTCTGGTGCAGCAGGCAGTGGGCGATGGTGGGGGTGCCGAGCATACCGTCGGGCAGCGGGCCCAGCGACCGGATCGGCGTACAGGCCTCCCACCGAGCTCGCAACTCTGATGGATGGATGATATATAACAAAGGGCCCAAAACCAGAGCAGGACCTAGTGGTGTGGTGATGTCTCTCTCTCTCTCTCTCTCTCTTAGCTACCTGCGACGACTCTTGACCACAGCAGTGCCAGGCCCTTGAAGCTCCGTAGGTCGCCGCTTAGGGCAGCCACACGCCACAGCAGGGTCCCGGGCGGACACCCCTTCAGCCGAACACAGCACTCCTCCAGACCACCACCACTAGTGTCGCTGGCAGGTCCATTACCAGCAGCAGCAGCAGCAGCAGCAGATGGTGGGCCGACATTGCTGTGCCACTGGGTCCATGGTGAGGCTGTGATTGGCGGATACGGTGAGGGGGGCGGGGGAGGAGAGCTGCTGGCGCTGCTGCTGCTGGTGCTGCTGCTGGTGTTACTGGTAGCTAAAGGAGGGAGTGGCTCGAAGCACCGCGTCACCATGTGGGTGACCTCTTCGGCAGACGGCATGAGGACGCTCTCGAGCGACTCCATCAGACTCACACCAATAGCCCCTAGCGCAGTGCTCGCCACCGGCACGTTCAGCCGCCCCAAGACGCTCTTGACTCCCCGGCCCTCACTGAGCAGCTCGGCCAGCATGCGGGCCCGTCTGCAGGCGGGCAGCAGCCGCCTCCTCTCTGTGGGCGAGAGGGTCGATGACGGCAGCACACGGAGTGACCACCGGGGGGCGAGGTCAGGCGGCAGAGATGAGGGGAGGGACAAGTCGAGAAAGGAGCCCTAACAGACAGACAGACAGACAGGCACGTGAGTCCAGTCCGCTGGTATGGGGGTTGTCCGTGTGCGGATGTATAGGAACGAACCAGTGTCATGGGAGGCCATGTGCACGACAGGTGCAGCGCGCCAATCGGTTCAGGGATCATCGCTGCGTCATCGTCGGCCCAAGTGTGAGCTCCCTGGGGTGGTCGGGGTGGGCGGGGCGTGATCTCACTCTTGGTGGGCTTGCTTTGAGAAGGCGAGCCCATCCGACGGGCTGCCGTGGTCTGCCGCGACCGTGCCGACGGCTGGTCGCTCCTGGCCGGGGTGGGGGAGCTGATCACGATCACGCACCACCATACAAACAAAATACAAACAAGAGAGGACAAGGTGGAATGGAAGCACCCACCGTGACGGCCTGTAGGTGTGAGTGTGTTTGCCCATCTCCCTACCCTTCATTGTGCACCATATCGATGTCGGTCTCCTCGGCCGCATCGCTGTCGGTCTTCCTCACCCTCTCGCCGCCTGACTCCACCCCGCCTGTCGCCCCCAGCTGCCCACTGACATCGACGAATGCGTCTTCGAAGGGGGACGGGGGCCTCCTGATGCCGATGCCCCCCTTGGTTGTGGGACCGACGGTTGGCGGCTGGAGGGGTGGGAACTGCCAGTGATCCACCACATAGGTGAACCGGCATGAGAGGGTGAGGCCACGCAGGGAGGGAGAAGAGAGGGACAGCTGCACGCCCAGGAAGTCAGCAAGGCCTGATGGATGGATGGATGGATGAGAAAGAATCAACACAAGAAAGGTCTCCCGTCACCCATAATGCCCTCCTGCCTTTGTGTCTTTCACTTATTCTCTCACCAAGAATCTGTCCGACCGGATTTTTCGCGTCGGCAGCATTGGCCATGTCCCGACAGTCCGTCTCATAAGTCACCCACACGCCTTCTCCCTCACCAATACCCTCACCGCGCACGAGCAGATGCCCACTGTACCGGTGCCTCGTGGCCGACGAGGCCAGGAAACACGCCAGCGGCCGAGAGGGCACCGACGTGCGTGCAGCGACGGAGAGTGCGCTGAGCACCGGTGGGACGGCGTCTCTGTGTAGGTCGATGCACTTGTTGGACTCGTTGAGGAGCTCCAGACAGAGGTACTCGGTCACGCCGAACCATCGCTGCAGCCGCGGGCACCTCACAGGAAAGTCGGGCGAGCGGTGGAGGGACGATAGCATGGAGAGGGGGGAGGGGAGACCCGACGACCCCTGACAAAGCTGAGCCCCATCATCATCACCCTTTGTGGTAGGGGTGGTGGGGGTGGCAGTGTGGGCGCGGTAGAAGGACAGCCGATATGTGTATCGGTCGAAAACAAAGACAGCGCTCTCCTTGACTGACGAGTTTGCGGCCGGTCTTTGGCTGTCGAAGAGTCCGTTGCGTTTCCACTGCTCGATGACGAGCTCCATCTGCCTCGACAGCCTCTCAAGCGGCGTGGCCGTGGTGAAGTCGCGGATCTCAAACACCTCGCTGCTGTCACGCCGACCGCAGGACGACGGAGTGCCTGCAGCAGCCATCAGGCCCACAATTACGTAGATCCATAAGCCGCATGCACCTGATCTGCATCTGGTCTGCAGATCTCACTCACCATCGTCCACCGCCGTGTCAGTGGCCGTCTCCTCTCGCGCCAGAAACTCATCCACCTCGTCCATATCTTCGTTGCCGTCGTCTGCCTGTCCTTCGGCCGTCTTCAGCACCCACGATAGGCGCGGCGCATCGACGGCAGCTCGGCCATCCATCGTAACTTGGGCTTCCTCGTGGTGCTCGAGGGCATCAGCGAAAGCATCAGTTGACTCCGTGCTGTCCCCCATGGTCTGCGGCAAGGGAAGAGAGAGCTTTTGATCTGCGAGCTCATCTCGCAAACGGATCGCCGTGCCTCTCCCTCTCCCGGTGAAGCTGCTTGGGTGACTGCACAACCGAGAGGAATCTATACGGATTGCCATCTTTGTCTATACGGATTGCCATCTTTGTCGCGTCGCCTCAGCTGATCTGTGTCGGCAAGCGGCTGACGCGTTCGTCTATCCATCCATCCGCCATGCCGCAGAACGAGTACATCGAGCAGCACAGGAAGCGGTTCGGATACCGCCTCGACCACTTCGAGAAAAAGTCAGTCGTGCAGCAGCTGCGGGCAGCAAGATGAGAATCGGGTGTGGTGTTTGTGTGGCTGTCTGTTGTCTGTCTGTGTGTCAGGCGTAAGAAGGAGGGTCGGGAGCCGCACAAGAAGTCCCAGATAGCGCAGAGGCTGCGCGACATCAAGGCCAAGCTCTACAACAGGAAACGATACGCCGAGAAAGTCCAAATGAAAAAGACGTACGTACACCACACGGACGGATGAATGGATAGATGCACACACAGCATATCTGTTAGACCACCTGGATGTGTGTTGTGTGTGTCTGTGGTTGGTTGGTCAGATTGAAGATGCACGAGGAGAAGGACGCCAAGCAGAAGGAGGAGAAGGTCCCCGAGGGCGCCATCCCCGCTTACCTCCTCGACAGGGAAAACATCTCACGCACTAAGGTGAAGGAGTGCTGCAGACGAACACACCTGTGTGTACCACACGCGTGCACGCCCCCTCTCTCTCTGTGTGTGGTGTCGTATGTGGCAATGTTCATTTAGGTGTTGAGCAACATGATCAAGCAGAAGCGGAAGGAGAAGGCGGGCAAGTGGCAGGTCCCCATCCCAAAGGTCAAGGCACTCAGCGAAGACGAAATGTTCAAAATCATGAGATCCGGCAAAAGGAAAAGTACGCAAACCAACACAAACCGAGAACATGCCTTCACCTCACCCCCTTTGTCATTTCCATTATCCCTTGCTGCCATCCATCCCTTTGGTCCATATATCCATCGATCAGAGAAGATGTGGAAGCGCGTCATCAACAAGGCGTGTTACGTCGGCGAGGAGTTCACGCGTAAGCCGCCCAAGTACGAGCGGTACATCCGTCCGAGCGGCCTTCGGTACAAAAAGGCCCACGTGACGCACCCCGACCTCAAGACCACCTTCCAACTCGACATTGTGGGCGTCAAGAAAAACCCACAGAGCCACCTCTACACATCGCTCGGCGTCATCACAAAGGGTGCGTGGGTGTGTGTCGGGTCGGGAAGAGGGAGACGGAGGGAGGGAGGGAGGTGCATGAGGGTGCCTGTTGATGTGTGTGGGCCTGTGTGTGTGTGCGGATTGGGTCAGGTGCGATCATCGAGGTGAATGTGAGCGACTTGGGCCTCGTCACGCAAACCGGCAAAGTCGTCTGGGGTAAGTCAAGTCAGGTGAAGCGAGCATGGACGGGGTTGGGCCATTTTCTTCCTTGTGTGTGTGTGCACTGCAGCCAAGTATGCGCAGGTGACCAACAATCCCGAGTTGGATGGCTGCATCAATGCGGTGCTGCTCGTGTAGCGTAGCGTACTTACTGGCTGTGCGGTAGCTCTATCGTTGTCTGATGCCGCCATCACTCTCTGTACAGGCTGCAGTCTGGCAAGATGGATCGATGGATGGATGGATGCCGTGCGCTGTGTTATTTCCGGCGTTTGGTGCGTGTGTCGTGAGACTTGTCAAGACCCACACACATACATAGACCAACAATTCCAGCACGTGCACACGCGTTGCATAATTCCATCCGTTCTCAAGGACATCCGTCCGTTCACGGTCGCTCTCTCTCTCAGGCAAAGGAGGGGGGAGGGCGCAGTGAGCCGCGCTCACTTTGCATGGATTCAATAAAGCGAGCAGCTGACAGTCACGATAGACTCGATGAGCCGCATGGATGGATGGACCCATCAAATCCATCCATGCACCCATTCATCCATCCCATTCATTAAGTGAATGAATCAATGGTTGTGGCATCCATCCATTTTGCTGCACTCTACGTCTTTGTCGCCACGTACGTAACGTTTGTGTCACACAGCCATTCGGCCCGCACTGACTGACAAGCCCTCGTATATATGAATGCCCCCCCGCCCGGCCCGCCCGCCTGGCTCAGCTGATTGGTCATCTGAGTCAGAGCTGCAGGTTGAATGCCTCCTGGTTCGAGAAGCCCAGCGACTCCAATGTCACCTCAGACACATCCACACCACCCTACACACACATACACACGCACACGCGTGTTGTCTCATTCATTTCATGGCTGCCCTCAGTGTAATGCCGGCTGGTTCCCTCACGCACATTCGTTCCCTCGTACAGGACGATACGCCCCTCCGACTCGCGGGCATAGCGCTTCCTGACGACAGACAGACAGACAGACAGACACATGGACAAAGGAGAGAGGGTTCACGGTGTGTCGGTTGGGCCTGTTGTCGGTGGGCTACTTTGGGAATGGGACGACCAGTGACCACGTGCCCCGCATGCTGAGTTTGGGCTCGACGCCGCTCAGCTCCTCATACTCCAACCAGTGGAACAAATGCTGCGGGGGGGGCGAACCACGCACAATACGTACGCCAAGAGTAGAGTGAGTAGTGTCAGGTAAGGTAGGTGCTTACCTTGATGATGTGTGAAGGCGCAAACTTGCGCACCATGCGGCCGCCGGAAGGAAGACGCACCTGACGACAGAGAGACAGACAGAGAGACAGACAGACGGACAGACAGACGTGTCACTCAATCAGTGAGTGGCTGGATGAAGCTTACCTGCACCGTATAGGCGCGTCCTGACGTGGGCTCCTCGGGCGGCCTGGGCAGGGCCTGACGCACACACACATAACCACGTCACGTGAGATGTAAGTCCTGTCTGTCATCGTTCGTTCATGTCTGTCATGGGTACCTACCTGTTTGTGTGTTTCCATCGACAGGCGGAGCGCCTCAGCGAGCTCAGGGTCCTCATCTGCACGCCATACCATACCATACCATACACACCGTACCATGTACCACCCGTCCCATCAAAGCCCATCTGCCGGATATATTTGTTCTTGTGTGGTTTCCTTGTCACCGAGGTCGATGTGCTCCTCGCCAATCGCAGGGACAGCCTCCGCTGCAGCGCCGCCGCCAAGACGCCTGACACACACAACCATTGATTGACACACACGGACAGACAGGGAGGGAGGGAGGGAGGGGAATCAGCCCACATCGATATGGCATCAGACTTTGGTAGTCGCGACTCACTGTCCGCCTGAGTCGGGCCATTCGTGTTTGGGGGCCTCGTGGGGGTTGCGGACCAGGAAATTGGGACCAGAGGAGCTCTGCATCACACATGAATGGAGCATACACACAAGGGAAGGACAATGAAGCTGAGTGCCCACGGTATCCCTCGGTGGTTCATGGTCTCACGTCGCCATCGGCAGCGCCCGAGGATTCTCCCCCTCCCTCTTTGGAGTTGACGAGGTCCTGGGCTGCCTTCATGTCCTTGGCGTCCTTCACCTTGGCCTCTTCCTGCATCTCTGCACACACAGACACAGAAAGAGTTGTGGGCTGGCGGACTGGACGCCTCAATGAGCCGCTGGGGTACTTTCGATCTGGGCGTTTGTGAGGTACTTCTGATGTGGGCTGCAGCGGCGAACGTCCTGCACAGCACAAAGGATGGCAGCACACACAGATGCAACCAAGTGAGTGAGCGGCATGGGACGGGATGTATGTGTGTTAGGTGGGTGCATTTGTGTAGCTACCTACCTCTGGGTCTGGCTGCGGCAGGAACCCCCGAATGACGAATATGGAGTAGCCCTTCTCGACCACGGCAGTGATGAAGGCACTCAGCCCGAACTCACCGATGATGCTCGGCACCTTCATGGAGTCGAGATTGTACCTACACACACACATCCGCAAACAGACACACGAGGTGGGTGGAGGGTTGTGTGCTGCCTTGTCCCTCCCTCCCTCCCTCCCTCCCGCACTCACTCACTGACCATGTGCCGTTGACTTTGCGGACGGCGAACCAGTGCTCCGCCAGGTTGAACAAAAACGCCTCCTCCTTGCTGAACACACATGACAGTGCCAAACCAACCAACGTTGGGGGTGCCTTCGTTCTCCTCTGTCTACGCCAATCCTCTCTCTCCTTAGTTAATTGAGCTCACGATGGATTCTGCATGGACTCGATGACGTCTGGGCGGTAGGAGGGTATGCACTGTATGCCCCTCTGCTCCAGACACTTGATGATGACCGTCACAGAAAAGAACCCGTCATCTGCAACGCTGAACACACACACACGCAACTCAATCAACCAACTTGCGTGTGTGCGCAAAGCGGCGCTGTCCTCCCTCCCTCCTACTTGGCTGATCCCTCAGCGAGGAACGCCTTGAGGTCCTTCGAATCTCCCACTTCCATGAGTTTCTTCTCGTCCTCGTCAAGGCCAACGGCGATTTTCGACAGATCAGCTGCTGTGAACACCGGACCCTGAATGGACGGACACACGCAGCGGCAGGCAGGCAGGCAGGCAGCGTAGAAAGACAGATAGATGCAGGCGTGCCCGTCCTGTCCTCGTCAACCACTCGTCGGGTGCTCAGCTCACTGACCTGCACAAGTGAGTTGAGGCAGTGCAGCGCACACATTCTGTCTTGGCCCTGCTGTTCCCAATACACCTGCTGCGGACGAGATCCCAACCCGCCCGACCTCATTTCGTAAGCCGTATTCCTGCTGCCAACAATGGGAGTTGCTTGCAGTAGTGATCCCGTCTGCAATTTGCTCTCTTGCCTGCGTGAATGGATGGTCTTGATGGACGGTAGACTCGAGATCAGACGCTGCTTACGTCAATCGAATTATCGGGAAAATGCGAGACTGCTGTTAGCTCGCTCGCCCACACATAAAAACCGCTCTCTCACACATAGCCCCCACTACGAACACAGCCGTCACTGAGCATCAAACGCAGCCCTTGCTTAGCGTCTATCTGTCTTCCAACCAACATGCCTCCCGCCATCCCGTCGCCCGCCGGCCCTCCCGCCGTCCTCTCCCTCACAGCCCGTAAGTCCACCTCAGATGCACCCCAGGCGGCTCCCTCATCAATGCCCCAGCTCAGCCACTACCTGTCATTGGAGCCGCCGCAGCTGCAGTTCCTGGACGTGCAGCGCCACACGCGATACATCCAGGCCTTCGTCATCCGCAACCTCACCTGCAAAGCTGTCCGCGTGCGGTTCCTCCCGCCCAAGTCCTCCGTCTTCCGCCTCGCGCCGCATGTCAAGCCGGCCGACGCTGTGGCGCCCGGGCTGCCATTGCAAGTCGAAGTGGAGTACTTGTTCTCCGGGGCCTTGACTGACAGAGCGGGAGGGGCGGGTGGCACGAAGGGACAGGCAAGGAGGAAAGATGCGGAAGGAGCTGAAGGTCACAGGCTGGGCGAGGAGGACATTGACGACGTGCTTGTGGTCGTCACCGAGTTTGGGAGGGTGGACGTGCCCCTCTGCGCCAGGTCGCCATGCGCTGTCATCTCCTACCCCACTCGCCTCGACTTCGGCAAGATACTCGTCGGCTGCCACTCGACCAAGGAGGTGCTCCTGCACAACGCTGGCAGCATCGGCGGCACATTCAGCCTCTCGTGCGACGACCTCAAGACACCCGGCCTGCAGGTGGCCTTCGCCCCGCCCAGCGCCACCATTGAGGCACGCAAGAGCCTGAAAGTGCGAGTGGAGATCATGGCTCAGAAAGATGAGCAGAGGAGGGCAACAGGCGGGGCGTTCGAGGAGCGTGTGAAGGTCAGGCTGACCGGTGTGTCTGCACTGGATGGCCGTCCGCCGGCCATCGAGCTGCGTGGTGTGTCGGTGACGGAGCGGCTGCACTGTCTGGTTGGCACAGAGGAGACCGACGCCGTCGATATGGGCCGGCTGTACTTCGGCCAGTCGCGAAAGAAGACTATCTCCCTGCTGAACGACGGCCCCTTCCCAGCCCATTTCCGTGCCCAGCCCCAACCGTCAATAAGCCAAGACGATCTGAACCCCTCCCCCACTCCACTCGACAACGAGGACCCCCTCGACGCCCTCATTCGTTCGGCCGTCTCGTCGTCCCCCTCTACCTCCCTCGTGTCCATCTCGCCCTGCTCCGGGACCGTCCCTGCGTATGGCGAGCTGCAGATATCAGTGACTCTCACGACACCCCCGTATGTGCCGCAGAAGGGCTTCTTCACCGGCCAGCAGATGGAGGCTATTGAGGCCATGCAGAAGCCGATCGACGTCAAATGCATCGTCGAGTGCGAGGAGCTGATGCAGACGACCAGCCTCAATGTGCGGGCCGTGGCGAGCGTGCCGGGGCTGGGTGTGGGCCCGGCTGACAGGCTGGTGTTCGGGGGATGCCCTGTGGGGGAGAGGAGGGACCGGGGCATGACCCTCACCAATCGTCACGCACACCTGCCGCTCACATTCAAAATCGACAAAGTCACATCCATCTTCTCTTCCGTCACACACGTAAGCACGTCACACAGCACAGGGAGAGACACGACAACAGACAGACAGAAACACTTCATAATCTTCCATCTTGACTGACTGAGTAGGGCACGCTCGGTCCCCTGGAGTCGCTCCCTCTGGTTGTGACCTTCCTGCCCAACCACACCGGCCCCCATGTCAAGCCGCTCACGATTCGCTATGCAGACACGCTCTACTCGATGCATCTAGAGGTGGAGGCCGAGGGGCTGCCCTCCCCATTGTTCGCCGCCAAACCAAAGCTGCTGCCCAAGACCACCACCAAGGGCGGGCTGGACAAGACAGCCGACGACCTGGCGCCACAGTACCAGTACGTGAGAGAGGAGGACGCTGTGCAGATGAAGAGGCAGAAGGGCGGTCCGCCGACGATGACTCGACTGATGAAGAAGGAGCATTGGGCTGAGGAGGACAACAAGGCTTTGGACTCGCTGCTGCAGACCATGCAGATGAGCCAGAGCACCATCACTGTTGACGCCAACCCGTTCGCCCTCGGCACACAACAACTCAGGGACAAAATCGTCAATAGACAGAAATACACTCGGGTGAGGCAGATAAACGATTTCTTGAAATCGGTCGGATGCACCTGTCTATGTCTGTCTGCGTGGATGTAGGCCATGCGCCACGGGGGCCAGGCATATCGCCGGCAGCAGCGCGAGGCAGCCACTATCAAGAAGCAGCTCGAGCAGGCCGAGAATGATGTCCTGAAACTATCAGAGGTAGCGGATCTGGGCCTGACGCCTGGCAGTGGCCTGAAGGCTCCTGTGCCTAAGGCGAGTGAAGTGCCCCGCGAGCCCCTGTGGCTGAAGCGGCCAATGGACGAGGGGCTGGAGGCCAGGGGGGTGACGGGCAAGAGATACGTCCACAACGAGAACAAGCTCTTCAAGAAGAAGTTCAAGGTAGACCAGCGACATATATAAGAACAAGCTAAGCTACATGTAGATGTGCGTGTTGGGGTGTCTTGTCTATCTGTCTGTCAGGCTCACCCGAGCACGCAAGCAGAGGTTCGGGACTGCGCTGCTGAGTTGGAGGCGTGGCAGCTGCAACTTATCTCCATCGGCCCAAAGGTGCGTGAGCTATTGGATTGGGAGGAAACAACCCAGCCCACGCACATCACATGCCTCCGTCGATGTGTGTGTCTTGACTGACTGGGGTGTTAGAATCTTGACTTCGGTGAGATCTACGTCAAGTCCCATTCGACCAAGTGTCTGTCGGTGTTCAACGACCTGCCGTCGTCCGTGCTGGTGGCCATCACTGTCACCAACGGCACCGACACCAACACAAAGAATGGCGGGACAGAGCTGAAACGATCCACTCCGCTCTCGCAGGTGAGTCGTCACTCGTTGTGCCGTGCTGGGTGAACACCGATTGCATATATGTGTGTCAATAGGTAGTCCCCAGCGCGCAGGCGGCTGGTTTTGACATCGTCATATGCTCAGATCAGCCTGGTCCCGTGCACCGGCAGTGCGTCGCCACCATCAACGGCAAGTGAGACCCACGGCAAGCCATTAGACACCCTCGTACATCATGGGTGTGTCTCCCCGTTTCGTTCTGTGTTGTGTATGTCAGGTATCCGGTGAAGTTCTCCGTGAGTGGGCAGGTCATCCCTGTCCGTCTCAAGCTCTCGCGAGAGGAGCTGAACTTCAGATTCGCCGAGGACAGTCTGGAGGCCACTCTGACAGAGACTATCATCCTGGCAAACCACGGCAACGCCACCGCCCGCTTCAGGTGGCTCGAGCCAGATGACACCACCAATGCCCTGGGTGGCCAGTTCCGGGTGGTGCCGTCAGAGGGGCAGGTCAAGGCAGGAGGCGGGCAGTCGTGCAGTGTGACATTCACCCCACCACCGCACGGAGACACCGTTGAGGCCTTCCTCACACTCAAAATCGAGGATGGGGAGGACGTCAAGTGAGAAGATGGAACGTTCTCACTTACATGTTGGATGGAGACACAGTGTTGCGCGTATGGTCAGGCTCCATTGCACGGGCGTGACTCCCGAGGGCACGGTTCACTTCGTGACGAAGAGGATGGACTTGGGCAGTGTGGCCGTCGGCCAGCGCATCGAGCAGTCTGCCGTGATATCCAACCCAGGCTCCACTAACGCCATCGTGTTCGTCGAGGATGTGCCCGATGCCATGAGTGTCGCACCCACCCGCACACGCCTGCCGTCCGGCGGTACCACCGAGCTGCAAGTGACGGCTCTCCTCGCCGACCCCAGGGAGGTCAACGGTGTGCTGCAAGTGAGACCGAGAGGAGGCAAACCGGCAAGGCTGCCCATCGTCCTCACCGTGAGCCAGACAAAGCCACACGTGTCTGGAGACGCGACACCCATCACTCGCTCGTCCATTTATTCATCAGGCGTTGGTGCCCGAGGTCAGCGCCGCCGAGCCGGAGGTCAATTTTGAGACCATCACCCTTGGCGGTTTCGCGTCTCGGCCGCTCACTCTGCACAACGAGTCGCCGGTGGATTGCGTGCTGTACGTCGACTTGAGCGACAAGCCCGAGTTCTCCCTGGCCGTGGCTGAAGCGATGCTTGAGGGCCAGGAGGCCGACAAGGGCGACAGGAGTAACGGGGAGGGGGATGGTGGCAAGAAGGAGGGAGACAGAAGCGGCAAGCGCATAACGGCGAGGATGATGGAAAACATGCTGCAGAAAATCACCAAGGTGATCTGATCTGTCTGCTGACACAAGCACAACAAAACGCCGGGATTGACTCGGCCAAGCAATCCGTGTCTCTTTGTCTCATCTGCAGAGTCAGTACGAGGAGGCGATGCAGCCCCCCAAGCCTCCGGCCATGGAGTTGTTGAGGCTCTCACCCGACCAGCAGCAGCAACAGGCGCTCGATCGGCGCAGCTCCACCAAGATGGTCGAGATAGCCGACGTCGATGAAGACGAAGACGAAGGTATGTCACGTCACTTTCTCGGTGTTGGTTGTGTCATGTATGTGAGTTCTGCTCCCCTGCCTGTGTCTCACGTCAGAGGAGCGTTTGTCTCACATATGGAAGGTGACGGTGCCGCAGAGGTCCACACTCATGCTGGAGGTGCAGTATCAGCCCACTGAGATCAAGGCCCACACATTCAGCCTCCCGGTGCGCTTCGTGGGCGGCACAGTCCCACCAGGTCAGCTGGCTGCAGCCACAAACCACCTGACTCGACTCACGCGCATGTCCATTCCATCTAACACACAATCGTTGCTGTCAGAGTTGCGGCGCGAGATCAAGGCGGAGGCGGTGAGTCCCCGTCTGCTGCTGTCCGCCACCCTGCTGGACTTCGAGACCAAAGTGGTCACCACATCAGTGGTGTCAGCACCCACTGTGGCGTCAGTGCTGGAACTGGACCTTACCAATACGGACAAGAGGGCTGTCAACTGGGCTGTGGACGTGGAGGCGCTGAAGAAGTACCCTGGGGTCTTTCAGATGGAGCCGTCGGAACGAAGCATACAAGTCGACCAGGTGAGGTGATGAACCAGTCAGTGCACATAAGTGGATGAGACAGACAGACGTGAACACGAGAGATGAGATGCTGGTGCAGACGGTGACTGTGCGTGCTGGGTTCACCCCCAAAGAACCCATCCACTACCAGCTGGCCCTCCCGATATTCATCAGCCCGCCACAAGGAGAGGAGGAGTCGGCAGCAGAGGTACACACACGCATGAAGGACGACGGGCACTGAACACCACACCACATCTTTTGCGATACCTGTGTGCAGTCGTCTTCGCAGCCTGCTCCTGTCGACCGCTCCCGTGCCTATCTCGAGATCCGTCTCAAGGGGAGTGGAGTCGTGCCGACGCTGTACTTCGATCGTCGTGAGGTGGTCCTGCCCACCGTGCCGCTCAACATCAAGTCTCGACAGGTGTTCTTCGTCAACAATGAGGGCTACGACCTCATTGAACTCAAAGTCAGGCTGCCCTCCGACACCGTCAGGATACCCATCACGTACATCGGGGAGATGGGATGGGGACACATTTTATTTACACGTTGCCGGCCCTCTTGTCTTGTGTGCGGTTGTAGTGTGGAGTTCCCCGAGGGCCAGATGATGGGACTGGCCAAGTCAAGGATCCCTGTGGAGGTGTCCCTCCTCTCGCCCAAACCGATATCATTCACATGCAGGCTCGAATTCCTGGATGGAGAGGGAGGTGAGGGAGCGGGAGGAGGAAGTCACACAATGAATGAGACACCCAATCCGTGTGCACATGTGTGTGTGTATCACAAGTGTCGTATTCCATGCCCGTGAGCGGCACATGCGACAACTGTCTGCTGACTCTGTATGACTACCTTAACCTCAATCCCGACTTCTACGAGATTGACGACACACGAGACCCGCCCACGCTCGCAGAGGTACGTCTGTGTTGTGTGCGAGTGTCCTCACAATAGATGGGTCTATCTCTGCGCTGTAGACAGAGGATGCCGAGGACCGCATGGGATCTGAGGCGGCGCCGTCACAACGAAGCGAGCGGTCCCAATCAGCCGTCGGGTCGAGTGCCGGATGGGTGATCGATTTGTCTGCTGACTTTCTCGTCCGCTGGCTCAACGGCACTGTCCTCAAAAGCGTCATAGAGACTTACCCACAGGACCTGATAGCGTCTCAGGGCCGCCAGCTGCACGAGATAGTCGAGATTTTGACGGGCAAGAAGATTGGACCGCTCAAGCAGAAGGGGCCCACGGTAACGACAGGCGGGCCTGCCACCAGTGCGCCTGAGAAGAGCGGCAAGGAGGTGAGTGGGTCGACGGCCGGCCCGAAGGTGCTCAAGACGGTGGCTGCCTATGAGGACATACTCAACTACCTCAAGCAGGTCGGTCACAAAGGCCATTGAATGGGCGCTGTTGGACACTCGGGAAGGCGATGTGTATTCTGTTGTGGTTGGCCTGCAGAATGGTGCATTGCTGTCTCATGTGCGGCCCGAGTACCTGCTGACGATGGAGAACTTCATCAAGTACATGCAGGGCCTCCCCTGCAAACCCATACGCACACACAGCGGTCGTCTGGTGAGCCACATGAGCCGTCGGCCACTTGAGAGGCAGTTCATGAAACGGGCACCGGAGGCATGGACCAACACAGTCCTGCAGACCGTCAAGGTTGGTCAGCGGCTTCCGTCATTTCACACACGTTGACGTGGGGCTTTTGTTCATTGTGTCCCATGTCAGATATTCTTGCTGAATCGGCTGACGCCCCGGGTGTTTCTGAGCATGGCAGGAGTGTCATCCACATCATCATCCGAGACAGGCGAGGCCGATCCCTCCTCTCCCCACTTCGACACCTCCAACATCAGCGACTCCAATCTCTACTCACCGGCAGAGGCTCTCTTGCTGCGATGGCTGTCGTATCACTACAAGCGGGTGGACAGGGGCCAGAACCCCCGTCCCATCACCCAGCCGTCCCGCGACCTCAGAGACAGTCTCGTCCTCGCCAATGTGGTCATGTCGCACATACCCGAGAGCGGACCCCTCTTGCAGAATCTCAAGAAGCCTTGCACCGCACCAGAGCACTACGAACAGAACGCCCAGCGACTCATCGCAGTGCTGCAGGTCAGGTGTGCTTACGGTAGACAGACAATGGACAGACAAGCATAGCATCATGACATGTCTCCATGTATCCATGCATCCGTATGCAGGAGATGGGTCTTCACTTGGATTTGAAGCCGCAGGACATCGCTGAGGGCAACAGCCGGGACCTGCTGCTCTACCTCTTGTGGCTGGTGCAGCAGCTGCCACACTACATACCCAAGAGCACCATACACTTCGCTACTCCACTGGTCGGTCGGTTGGTCAGGCAGATCAAGAACCAACAGAAAACGACACGTACGTGGTTGCTGGATGAATTGGCAGGGTTTAAGTGCCACCAAGCATCTCGAGCTGACCAATCCCACCAAGAAGAGACTGGAGTATCGCGGCAGAATACACGGATCGTCTGACTTCTCCCTGCCGGTGGGTGTTGAGACACGCCATGAAGTTGTACTTCGGTTTCCACACTCAGCTTTCTTGCGTCTTGCTCAGTCTGACACGGTGACGCTGGAGCCGCGTGGCACTGCTCTCTTTCCCATCGACTTCAAGGCACGCTTCCTCAAACCTGTCGACGCCAGACTAACATTCCTCACCAAAAAGTAACAAATACGACAGAAGGAAAACCACCCAGTGTTGCGTCTCTTCATTCGCATACCGGTGCCTCCTTCCTTCTATATCAGGGAATCGCCCGGTCAGGCGGCAGCTCTGGTGTTCCGTCTCAAGTCCCAGATCACCAGCAAGCGGCCCAACAAGACCGTCAACATCACCACTAAGCTGTACAACCTACACGTGCTCGTCCTGGAGGTGGCCAACACCCTCGGCGTAGACGGCGACTTCAAGATGACGGTCTCAACCGAGAAGGTCGACCCCGTCAGCAAGAAGGGCCTCAAGTCGACGCTCGCCTATCCAGACAAGGTCAATCCCTTCTACGTGGCCACCAGCCGACTGAGGATAAGAAAGGACGGGACGATCACACTGCAGGTGGGTGGGTGAGGGTGGGAACGATATATACGATGGGATGGGGGCCCATGGAAGTTTGCGTGTTCTCTATCTGTCGTGTTTATTTAGGTTCACTTCATGCCGATAGAGATGGGCCACCATCTCTGCACCATCGCCTTCCGGGATGCAAACGCAGGTGAGTTTTACTATGAGGTCCTCGGCGAGGCGACGCTGCCGGCCCCAATGGAGGAGAGGCCCTTCCCGGTCAGTGCTAAATGCCAGGAACCCACCACCTTCACCTTGCCAATACACAGCGCAAACCCGAAGGTATGCGTGTAGACAATACATGTCTCCACCGTCGGTCTGTCTGCCGGTTCACGCCTCTACGTTTGTGCTGTGTGTGCAGTTGGATCGCGTGCGCCAGATCCTCATTGACCGTGTTCACCAGGAGACGGGCAGGACGCCGTCAGTGCTGCTGAACCGGCCGGACAAGGCGGTCACTTATGAGGTCACATCGTCGTCCCCATTCATGAAGGTGCCCAAGACCCTCTCCGTCATGACAGGGTACGCGCACCACACACACACACACAGAGAGAGAGAGAGAGAGAGAAGACACACACGCCTGCGCTGCATGTCCATGTCCTGCGCCATCCCTCAGAGGCACGCGTATTAACCTCGACAGTGCTGATGGCGGCGGGTCGGCGAAGCTTCCCATCGAGTTTGCGCCGAAGGAGGCGGGCATGTATCCTGCCACCATCACCCTCACCTCCGCCTATGACGTCCGTGTGTACGCCATCGAGGGCACCGCGACCGCACCGAACACCCATTGCACTCTCACATTTAACACCACCGCCAGGAAGAGCATCACGCAGGTAGGTAGGCTGTCCAGACAGAACGACGGGCGGAGCCAGACTCAAACGAGAATACACACATTTCTTTCCCTTTCTTTGGCTGGCAGGAGCTTCCGTTTGTGAACCCGACCGACACCGATTGGTTCCTCCGGGCGACATTCGCGCCGCAGAAGAAGGCAGACGGCAGTGCACTTCAAGCCCCCGTATTCGGTCTGTGCGCTGCGCACACTAGCCCAGCCCCACTTCAATCACAACATATATATGATGTGTATACTATATGCGTGTTGGTTGTACTCATCCAATCCACCTTTACAGATGGCCCGTCGTCGTTGGTTGCGAAGAAGAAGATCGGGGAGCAGAAGACCACCACTGTGTACCCCCTGACCTTCAACCCGGACTGGGTGTGCGAGGTGCACGGCCACCTCGACATATACAACACATCCACCAACGAGACTTACGAATACGACCTCATTGGAACCGCTGACGAGGTCACACGCACACACACTCACACCACCGGACCGATATTTGCACACACGCATGTCGGCTCTTTCTTCTATTGTACGCTGGCTGAATGTGTGCACTGCAGCCGCTGGCAGAAGACCATGTGGTCGTCCAGTGCCAGGCCCGCGAGAAGACCGACGTCAGCATCGAGGTCACAAACCCAACATCCAGCCCTCTCACCTATGACGTCGAGTCGGACCTCCTCAACATATCCGGGCCGCCCTCCTTCTCCCTCCCAGCTTTCGGCAAGGGCGCCTACCCGCTAAGCGTGCTGCCCATCCTGTCCGGGTCGACGACGGGCAGTGTGGTGTTCAAACAACAGGACAGCGAGCGATACCAGTGGTACACGTTGCAGATCAACGCATCGCCGCCCAAACCACAGGCCACACTGAAGCTCCAGTGTGTTGTCAGAGAGGTTTGTATGCTGCAAATGCTCGAACGACTTTTTTGTGGGATTCTCGTATCGTATCTTGGCAACGCTTTAGGCTGTGTGTGTGAGCCTGCAAATGACGAATCCTCTGGATGACATTGTCACGCTGGAGGTTAGTCTCATCGGCGACGGGCTGCTGGGCGAGAGCGAGTTCGTCCTCGCGCCACGTGAAGCCGCCACCTACCAGCTCATATACGCCCCCCTCGTACCAGGGCAATACAGGGGATCAGCAGTAAGGCGACAGACGCAAAACCACACACGGACAGAATACGCCCACACACATGACGTATTCACATCACATCCTTCCACCAGTCGCTGCTGAGTGAGAAGCTGGGTGAGTTTTGGTATGACTTGGAGCTGACGGCCGACCCTGCCCCTCCCACAGAGATCCCTTTGATGGAGTGTGAGGTCGGCACCACCAAGCAGCACACAGTGACTATCGAGAACCCACTTGGATACGATGTCGCCCTCATACCAAGGTCAGTCAGTCAGTCACGACAGGCGTGTGTACATGTGTTTTGGGTTATGTGTGTGAAGGTCGAGCAATCCCTCCAACTTCCGCGTGTCGACGCCCCGCCTGCTGCTGCCCCCATTCGACACCGCAGACATCACGCTGGAGTACTCCCCCACGACGATCGACCACGTCGAAGTAAGTAACCCAACCACACACTCAAATCGAGACACCCGCATGGTGGCCACCAGTGCAGTGTCTCTGTTCCATCAGGAGGGCACAATTACGCTGGATCATCCCCTGGCCGGCGAGTGGGTCTACAACTTGACAGGCAAGGGCCTCCTCCCCCGCCGACCAAAGGAGGTGTCTGTCGTCACGACAGTTGGACGAGCGGTGTCGTCGACGGTGCACTTCAAGAACCCCTTCATGAAGGCCCTCTCTGTCATGGTCTTTCTGGTGGTCGAGGCCAAGCCCAAGGGAAGTGGTAAAGACAGCACCAGGGAGCAGCAGGCCAGCGGCGCGCAGGACTTCACCCTGCTGCTTAAGAAGACGCGCCTGCATGTGGCTCCCTTGGCTTCGGTGCCGATCCCCTTTGTGTTCTCCCCCGCGAGCATGCGTGAGCACGTGGCCGAGATTGTTGTCAGAGCTGACGACCCCGCCCAACAGGGACTCCAGTGGATATTCAGGCCAGAAAGAGACATTGATGTCGTGAATGCAATGCCTGCACACACACCCGACTGCCTGTCTGTCTGTATCTCTGTTTGTTGGTGTAGGCTGAAGGGTTTGGTGGAGGCGCCCATCGATCCTCAGCTGCACCCCTTCAGCACCAGGGCGCGGCAACCACTCGACACAGAGTACAGCTTCAGCCTCGTGGGCGTGCAGCCATCCAGAGTGCGATGAACAGAGCACAACACGCATTCACGCCGTGCGTGCGAGGCGTGTGGTAATCTCTCCGCTGTCTGCAGGAGCCTCTTGAGTACGAGCTGGAGGTGCCTCCCGACGTGAAGGAGATGGTCGATCGGACCTTTGCCCTTGACTTCAAAGACACTCTCATCACCGAGGCCGACCAGTCAGCTGTCATGCTGGTCAAGTTCGCACCCATGCGGCCCTTCACAGCCAACTGCACGCTCATCATTAAACGGAGCTCGGGGGGCAGGTAGGTGGATAATAGGGAGAGAGAGGGGGGAGGGGGGGGAGGGAGAGAAGGAGAAGATTGTGTGATGGCCAGCCAGCCTGCTGCTGTCTGTCTCTTAGGTGGCGTTTCCAGCTGCGGCTGTATGCTAGTGTGCCAGATCCCGATGACACGATCTCCATCGAGTCGCCCATCAACCAGCAGACGGCTGTGGCATTCAGACTCACCAATATCGCACCGACATACTCTCAATTTGAGGTAAAGATGCTCAAGGCACTACACCCCACGCCCGCTGTCCATGTGGTCGTTCAGGCATTCTTTGCGCCGGAGTCTCCGTCCGATGACTTCATTGTGACGCCCACCTCGGGCACCCTCGACCCGGCCGGCTCTTCGGGCACCATGTTTATCGTCTCGTACAGGCCGACAGAATATGGCAAAACCGTCACTGCCAAGCTCGTCATTCAGGTGAGCAAATGCACTTCCGCGAGACACAAGTTCTTGTTGGGTGTTGGTCATGCTGTGTCGCCTCGTTCAGACTGAGGACACGTACTGGTCTTACTTGGTGAGGGGCACCCACCCGCACTACAACGCCCCGGAGATCACATCATCAAGACTCGACAACAAGTTGGATCCAGCAGTGGCCAAGGAACTCCGCAAGGCCGAGAACAAGGGCAGGGCCACCAATTTCATCAGAGCAAACATGAAGAAGGCCGCCGCCGCAGCCGATTTCAGGAGAGATCGCTGACTTCATCGATCACACCTCTGTCTGATCTGCCCTGATTTCTTTTGCTGCCCTACTTTTTCGGTGTGCGCAATGATGCTACGCTGCCTTGTCTCTTTCTTCTGCTCTCTTCTGCACTGCTCTCTTGCTGGGGTTCACGGTGCTGGGTTGAGCTCAATGGCTATCGCAGAGTCATTGTCTCCCATGTGCGTGGCATATGTGATATCGACAGAGGTGCTGTGCGTGCGTTTGTGACCCCGCCTGCCTTACTCAGCTTCAACATCTTCCTGTGCTCATGAACCGCGATGCGTTTCGCCATATATGCATGCATGTGATGTCGCCAGAATTGCCGTGTCCCCCTGGCGGTGCTCGCATGGTCTCCGCCACACACGAATCAGTGAGTTTGAGTGACCCGCCTGCTGCTCTCCGGGCAATATAAGATTATTGGCAGCGAGGCTGGCAACAGAGTCACACACACGGCAAACCGCACCATCCGAAAGATACATCGAAGCAGCGCAAGCACAGCATCAAACAGCAGGGCAGCCACGCCGCCACACACAACACACAGCAATTCCGCGGCAAGCCAGACGTCGACGGCATGCATACGACCCAACACGGAGACCACACCCCACATCACATCACATCACATCCATCAACGCAACGGGCGGGAACAAAACTATCCATAATCCCACATCACCCAATCACATGACGTCAATCTACAGCCGATACATGTGTGTGTATCATCGGCGGGAAAAAAAAACACCGGACGGTCTCTCACCATTGTATACATGTGAGAGGCCGTCTCATCCGTACGCCTCAAGAGCTGCCAGCAGCAGCTGCTGCACCCGCACTCTCCCCCGTCCGCTGGCGCTTCCGCTGAACACAGACAGACACCAACACACACACAATTGCCCTGTGTGTCGGGTCGGTTAGATGTACGTACCTGTTGGACGAATAGTGCGAAGTCCGAGTCGATCCCCTCGCGGGCCTCGTCGTCATTACTGTCCAGGTCTTCGTCCTCGTCATCATCACGGTTGTGCTGGATGCGCCGGTGCTCCTCGTACAACTCACGAATCACCTGATCGACCAACCATACACCACCACAGCAGCAGCAGCAGGAGGAGGAGGTGGTGGTTTCCCAGGGTCGTGTTATGGTGTGTTTCTCTCTTTCTCTCTCTCTCTCTCTCTCTCTCCACACACATGGGGTTTGGTGGTGAGTGCTTCGACGGCAGGGTCGTCCTCATCCGTGAGGTCCAGGGGCGCCGCACTGGCCATCGATGGGGGCACGGCAGCCCTGACCTCACGCTTGCGCTCCACCTTGACACGCAACCCTGTAGCGCACCAACACACATGGATGTGTGTGTGTGTGTTGGCTGTGTGTGTGACGGTACCTACCGTCCTCGGTGCGGCCGGCTGCATCTATCTTGAGTGCATTCATCACGCCCTTGCGGTTCTGCTCGTACGACAGCTGGTCTACCAGATGGATCTTGCGGGCCCCTGGCACAGCACAGCCACACACACACGCGTGTCGTGTGCTATGTATACACAAATCGCCGCCAAAGGCAGCGACCGACAGCCCTTAGTTACCGATCTTTTTGGTCTTGTGCCAAACGTCCACAGTGCCGCGCTTGTTCTGGAACTTGGGCAGAATCTCCAGCTCCGCATTGGCGCCCGTCTCGGTGACCGCCGAGTGGGTCTTCTTGGCACTCTCGGGCACCTTCTCCGACGCCTGCATGCCACGCCACACATAGACGTTTGCAGTGAGGGAGGGCGTCTGTGGTCGTGCATGTGGGCATAATGGCTGTAGGGAAGAGTACCTTGTCGAATAGCTGGACGGTCTCCGGCAGGCGCGCCTCGCACTGCTCGCCAAAATGCTCTGTGTTGGTCTTGGTCTCGATGCGCGTCTTCCAGAACGGCACCGTGATGACCCTCTGTGCCTCCAGCCACCTGATACGCAGACCGACCGCAAAAAAAACACTCACTCACTCACGAGCAGCATGTAGCATAGCAGAGGGATGTCGGTCGGGGAGAACTTGCACGCCTCCTTACGCAGGATTGAACTGGGAAGCAGCAGCGTCAATGGTGTCCGGCTTGCAAAACGTCTGATGTAACAAACGCACACAGAGCACACAGAGCGAAGGCAGAGCACACGAATCGCAGCCAGCACCTGCACAGACGCTCCCTCCCCCTCTCCCCCCTCACCCACCCACCAGTTGTTTGTGCTGCACGCGATAGGCATTGGTATCTGATGACGAGTCCACCGACACTGGCACGGTGGAGACCGTCTGGGAAGTGCCCTCCTGTAGTGCCAGCCACTTGATCTGCAAGCCATCAAGCAGAGGCAGATGAGGGTGACGCTAAAGTCGCAAGTCGGTTGGCTTCCTTGCAACCTTTTGGCCATCTATGAACAGCTCTGCCTCCACGGGATACGCGCGGTTGTTCCGCACAGTCACCTACAAGTACAGGCAGGCCACACATTCACGAGGCACACCATCGCCACCACACCGCCACCACCACGGCACCTGATAGGCCTTCCCAGGCTCCGCCATCACGTAATCGACCTCATGGGCGGGCTGGAGATACGGCAGCGGGCGCAGCGCTCTTCCAGGCTCCACAACCGCAATCTCCTGCAGGGCAACATAGCGAACCAATCCCCCAATCGTGTGCTCGTCATCTGCGTCATCGCATACCACGAAGAGGTTTTTACAGCCATACGCCCGGTTGGTGTACACATTGTGCCCTCCGCTGCTGGCGCCAGACATCTCTCTTCTGTTCCGCCTCTACGAAAGGAAGAGGACTCTTACTGCGAGCTCATGTGGGAGGACGATCGCGATAGCCCCATTGCAACTCGTCACTCGAGCCCTCCAACAACCCCACACACACGCCTTCCTTGTGAAGGATGGATGACCCTCGGTCGCGTGCACGTTCGTATGTGCGGCTTCGACCGTTGCGAGAGGACGAACTGGAGGACGGGGGCCTGTCAGCCTCCCTCGCTGTGGAAGTCACAGGACCTGCCGAGATTTGCCTCCTCAAAGGTGCCAACAAACAGCGGTACGTATGCCAGAGTGAGTGAACAGACAAGGGTCCCCCCGAGTACGTTCACAGCTTTGTATGTTGTGTTCAGCTATGTGGTCGACGGCGTGATTGGGCCTCGTGCGAACCATGCGGAGGTCTTCATGTGTGTGCGGGACTGCCTCGAGCCCACGCTCAACGGCTTCTCACACAGTGTCGTCATCTACGGCCAGTCAGGCAGCGGCAAGTCACACACACTCTTCGGCACGTCAGTGGGAGACGCCTCGTCCGAGAAGCAATTGCTCAACGAGTCCTCCCACATCCCCTCACGCAGCCCCTCGCCCCTTGCTGACACCTTTCGTGCGTCGCCGAGGGGCCAAGGGCCTCTGCGATTGAGCATGGGTGCGTCGTTGCTGCCGCCCAACACTGCCAGTGGTGGCGGGGCTGCCAAGGACAGCGAGGGGCTTGTCTTTCGCACTATCAGGTCAGCATCCCGCGAGGGGGGGCGCACAAGCATGCAATCAAAATGTTGAAGGAAGGAAATGGCGTGCGTCTTGCGCTTTTCAGGGCTCTGCTGGACCTGATCAAGTCATCTGCATCTGCGTCTCCCTCCTCCTTCAAGGCGACCCTCTCCTTGTCGTATTTTGAGATATACAACGAGACGGTGACCGACCTCTTACAGGTGCCCTCTTCGCCCCCTTGCCAGCCTATTGCACCATTTCAAGAGGCAGAGGAAGGGACCTTCATCACGCAGCAGGCCAGTGGCGGCGGCAACACCGGCAGCCAGTCACAGAGCAGCTATCTGGTGGGAGGCAAATATGTGGGGCTATCGAGCTGGGTTGTGGAGAAAGCAGAGGACGCCTATTCCTTTCTCCAACAAGGTGAAATAATAATATATGGAACAGAGGTTTGCAGTGAAAAATGGAATCTCATCTGCTTCCATATGCCCGCATCAGGCGATTCGAATCGCCGCGAGCGGCATCGGGATCGGCAGATCCTCTCGGCCCGCTCCCACACATGCATCCACCTGTCGGTCTTGGTCGAGCGCGAGCGTGCTTCGCAGCAGGGAAGCGCCTCACCTCAGCCGCCCCAATTTGCCACTCTGCGGACGCCCTCACCGCAAGGGGGCTCAGACAGGCGGGACTCGGCGACGTCGATCGAGAACGACAAGGCACGGCAGTCGCGTGTGGTGGACGATGTTGGTGAAGAGAGATGGCGTTGGCAGGTGACCAGAGGCGGCATACTCTTCGTGATGCTCGGGACGTCGGAGGAATGGGACCTCACACTGTGAGCGAGACACAGAATTGAATGATGGAATGCTCATGAGAGACACCTGTGTGGGTGTCTGTCTTATGTGGATGCAGTGAGGCTGGTGCTTCTCCGCACGAAGAGCTGAGTCGCCTGAACGACGGCATCTCCCACCTGGAGCGATGCGTGGCTGCACATGCTGCCGGATCGAGAAGAGACGTACACATGAACGTAGGCATTCAGACACAGGGAGCAATTCGTCATCGTGTATGTCTATACATGTCTTTGACATGTCTCTGATTGATGCAGATGGAGGACTCCCACTTGACTCGAATCCTTCAGGAATCTTTCGAAGGGACTTCTCGGATGATCGGCATCATCACTCTCAGCCCCGCACGCGCAAGCGCGGACGACACTCAGAAAGCTCTCACCTTCGCAGAGCAGCTTCGCACACTCACGTGCAGCCCTCGGTAAGCGCAAGTGCACGATTCACATTTGGACAAAAGAAAGACGCGGCTGCTTTGCTTTTTTCTCTCTCAGTGCTGGGGAGTTGCGTCTGGCGCCGTACCTGGCTGCTTTGGAAGATGGCAACAATCGGCTGAGAGACGCCCTTGGGATGAGCCTCATCGACTCGTCCATCTTCAGGAGAAAGGGCGGCACATCACTGGAGCTGCACGAACGACTCAGAGATGACTTCAAGTAAGTCTTAAGGACATCAACGCCATGACGCCTGAAGGAAGCGTCTCGATCGGCTCCTTGCCTCAGGCGATTGCGTCTGCGCCTTCAGCGCATCCGTCGGCGGGGCTTTGTGCCGATCCCTCTTGAGGGCCATCGCGAGCCGTCACCGACTGACACTGAGGTGCAGCGGTCGCAGGAAGAGGAGAAGCGAAGCAAACACCTCCACGGTAAACATCGATCAGGTTGGCACGCCTTTGGTTTGTACGAGACATGCCCTTTGCAGCGGCTCGTCGAAGCGCCAGTGGAAAAGCCAAGAGGGCCTCCGATCACCGACGCCTACCCTCAAGCCTCTCGATCGGAGCTGCCAACGACGTAAGACATCCCCTATCAACAAAGATGTGATGCATTCCCCGTCGATTGTTCAGCAAGAAGAGGAGGAACTGGTCCATCCCTCACGGTTGACTCCGACCCTCGCAGAGGGACAGCCAACCCCACTGGCAGTGTCGATGCAGAGCGCAGCCGCTGCCGGTCCTGCTCCGGTGACGGCTGAGGAAAGAAGTGAGCAGCCACCCGCTGCTCCTCTTGCCGTTACAGAGTCAGAGCGGCAGACACCAAGCACGACAGTGCGGAAGTTCTCCACTCTGGTATTAGACACGGCAAGGGAGCCCCAATGAATTGACGAAAACCACGTTTTGTTCGTCCTTGTAGAGTCTGGATGAGTTGAGGCAATCGCTGGATCGAGCGAGAAGAGAAGGTGAGGGAGACACCCACTTTGCAAGTGTGTGCATCAATATGGGAGTTGGTGTGTTGGTTGATTCATTGCATCAGAGATTCGTCGGATGGCCAAGAAGGTCCAGCGGGACATGCCCTTTCGCTGGCCTCCCCGATGTGCAATCTGCACTCTGCCGAGGCCATGCGCCTTCTCGGAGCATGAAGAAATCAACGAAAGGTGTGTCGGATTCTCGCATGAATATGTCTCACTGATCTCATCGTTGGCTCCGCTCTTCGCAGGGTGCTGGTCGAGTACGCTGACAAGCCCGAAGCGAGACTGCCTCCGGCAATATGCACCGAGGCAGTCCAGCCGACCTTCTCAGCCGCCCTGGCTCAATCGGCGTTTCTCACCGAAGTGCCTCTCTCCGACGAGCACCGCCACCCCCTCGCCGCTTGCCCCTCAGCCGTTGCCAAGGACATCACGGGATCGCTAGAGACCCTCGAGAGGCAGTGGGAGGATGTTGGCAAGCAGCCAACGACAGCAAGAGCCATTGAAGATCGAGTTTCGCCGAGGAACAAAGTGAGGGAGAGAATGGCCAGGAGGGGCCGGGGCAGAGGGAGGCAGGATGAGCGGCTCGATGGCGGGTATCTCAAGGCGCTACCCAGGAGGTATGAGCTGGTACAGTCGAGCAGCGGCAAGATCAAGGTGCACAGAATCGGGCCGAAGGAGGAGCCTCCTCAGGTAACAAACAATAGAACGAAGGCATTTAAGAATGCCGTCACTCACTCCCTATCGAGTGGTTCCCTTGCTTGCTGCTTTTATGCATGCAGTGCTTGTTGGCACTCAACAGCCTCGAGCAGGTCATCAAAGCAAAGCTGCGCCAAGCCAAAGAGGAGGAAAAGGTGAGACAGACATGATTCATTCAACCAGCCATAACAGGCAGCGCCACTGGCCTACCTCTCTCTTGGATGCAGCAACTGATGAAGCTTGCTCAGCTGGAGGAGTACAAGGCGAGGAAGGCAGCCGAGAAGATCCTGGCTCTGCAGGAACAGCAGGAGAAGGAGGAGGAGTGGCAGGACTTCCTTCGCAACAAGGAGGACAGGCGGAGGAAACACCACGAGCGGATCAAGAGGGAGATCGAAGAGTACCATTCACACAAAGACCAACGGTGGGTGAGATGAGACACACAATCAAGAGCAGAGGGGAAGACACTCAACGACGAGACGAGCCATGTATGTTTGCGCCACCCACCAAATGTTGACTGACAGAGACATGGAGCGCGAGGAGCTGAGACGTCAGGAAGAAGAAGACAAAAGGAACGCTCAAGAGAAGAGAGAGAGGTCAGAGAGCCACCAAACGCCAGCTGAGCTGGCCTTGTCCAATCCAACGTGTCACACGTCTCTCGCTCACTATTTGCTTGCCAGGCTGGTAGAGGAGCAATGCCGACGTCTGAGCGAGAAGCACGACCAGAGAAGGTGGACCAGAGTGGACATCGACCTTCAGCAGCGGAGGTGCACCCAAGCCAGCGCCCCAGCACAAGACAGAGAGGAAAGCCAGCCTTCGTCTTGTCGGCGCAAGACCCTCCCGCCCCTCCCCACAGCCGCATACAGCCCCATGCGGCCCCCTCCCCTCCAGACACCCACCGCACACCAGGCCAGCAGCAAATCCGCCCCGCCCACACACAGACACTCCAGTAAAAAGAGAGACAGCAGACATCAAGAGGGACAGACGGGCGATGCAGGTGGCGACAAGGGAGGGAGGAGGGGCAGTGGCGCCAGGACGGCGCGCATCCAGAGGGGCAGGAGCTCCATAAACGCACTTGAGGACGTCAAGGGCTACTCTGCTGTGTACGGGCTGCACGCAGGCCTCGTCAAAGTAGGAAGGAACCACACAGATGCCCACAATCATGCATGGTGTGCTCACGTCTCATCAATCGATTGATGTGTCTGTCGTCAGAAAACCCTCCCAATTGGCGCTGCGCACTCGCAGGTCGTCTTTGAGTCGACGCGGCGAAATTCGCATTACGCGCAACCCTGCGCCAACAGGAAGCGTAACGCGAGAGAGGCCGCCATGGCGGAGGGCACTCGCAAGCGGACAGCAGGAGACAAGACGGGGGGAGCTGGGGATCAGTAGACAAAGGGGGCATTGCACTTTTCCGCTGTGAGAGACATGTATGGGATGGTGGGGATTGGTTGTCGTGTGAGCACTTCGGCGATGTGCATTCGTTGTCCCGAGGAGGACAAGACATACAGTGTGTGTTGTCCACTTTGCTCTCTCTGCGTTGGTACCCTTCCGTGTGTCGGTGTGTATGTATGTGCGTTTGGACAATCTATCGTATCACACACCTACATGTCGATCTACCTGGCACGTGTCAGCTTTCATTACTTACGCATTTCACGTGGAGCGGATGCACACGTGCGGTGCGTTAGGTTCCAGCGACACAACCAGAGACACAACCCCTATACACAGCTCGTCTCCCTCCTCGCCGTTGCATGCTGGCCACTCCCTCTGCACCACCTCCGGTTCTTCCTTCAATGAGAGAGCTCACTGAAGGAAGATCCGAGGGTGGTGCATGTGTAGAAGCCAGCACGCAGCACGGTCGATATAGGCCGGTCTATTCTATCCCCCCTTGTCAGCGCCCCTGGTGCCCATCAATCGCACCAGCCCCTCGCAGAGCTTCTCGCGCAGTGCCGCCTCAATCGAGATGTCTTCTTCCGCCATCTGCAGACGGTAGGTACCGTAGAGACAGACAACGACAGAAGTACATATGGGTGGGTAAGTGAGTGAATGCGGTGCGGTGCGGTGCGGTGCGCATCGTTGTGTGGAAGGTCCTCAAGTACTTGTCTGAAGTGCGCTTCTGTAAGCTGCTCGAAGGCCTCTTCACTGTACAGGATTCTGGAGGAAGAGACAGACACACGAACGAACAGAGAGGGACACAGGTACACACGGTACGTGTCCAAGTGGGGTGGCTGTGGGGGGAGCTGCTTACGGCACTCCGGAGCACTCACAGACAGCCATGCGGAGGATCCCAGGACCTGAACACACACGTGCAGACAGCCAGCCAGCCATGGACCAAGTGCATGGCTGGCTGTCTGTTGGTCACCATCAGGGTCGTCATCTCCGTCCGGCGACCGGAATGGCGGCACGGTGGAGATCACCTGAACACAAAACACACACCACACATCATTCGTCCATGTGGCGCAGCCTCCCTCCAGCACAAACACCCACCTGTGGCCTCCTGGGTATGAAATAAATGCGTCCCCGCCCATCGCGCCTCAGCGACATCGTCAGGTTGAATGGACAGTCCTCGGCCACCAGCAGCTCCACCAACCCCCATACCACATCCACTAAGCCGTCCCTCACATCGCGACTGACGGCCTCGCCGTCGACGGTGAAGACAATCGGGCTGGAGGGATACTGCAGCACCGACGCACTGACGGTCACTGATGGGGCAGGGGGTAGGGAGAGGGGGAGGGTCGCTATGAGGGAGGCGGTGGGGGCGGTCTCTATCGGGAGGCCCGACGGGCAGACGCCCGACACGTACATGCCGTGAAAGTGGAGATGGTTCACCTGCAACACACACATCAGACACAAGAGCGGTGAAAAGATGGTATGTGTAAGTGTGCTGTGCCGCCTGGTCCTGTCATGCTCATGCTCACCGATGCCCATGCACCCGATGAGTTGAACATGACTTTGAAGTCATCGCGCGAGGAGGCCATCGAGAACTCGAGAGCGACGGTCAGGGCCTCTCTCGTGAGGTACTGGGGAAGGCACTTCTGTGACCACGGCACCACCAGGATGTGACCCTCGAAGATGGGACTGTATCGTATCGACAGACAACGAAACGAGATACGTGTGTGCGAGAAGAAAGGATATGTTGTGTTGTGTGTGCCTGTCTGCTGCTCACCTGACGTTGAGGAGCACCGGATGCTTCTCGCCATCGACACACAGCTCGCCAATCTGGCGACGTCCACACACACATACAATCGGGACAGTCAGACATCCCATCCACACAGCCTCACTGCCCTGCCCAGGGCATCGATCGCCCATACCGTTTCTTTTGGGTTGGCCTTGTTGAAGTTGAAGTCGTTGGGATCAAATGGACGCAGCAGGGAGGGGGCGGACGCCGCTGTGGACGGCGGAGACCCCTTGTGCAAGGGCTTCGCCTCATACAGCTTCGTCTTGCGCTTCTCCCTGCCGACAGACATACCAAGGCACACCAACACACACACAGCACAGCCAGAGAGCAGATCTATTGCTGCAACACAGGCATCCTCTCTGCATCTTGTCGTCACTTGCCTTGTGCGCTTGACGTTGACCGTCGCAATGAGGCCCAGCTTGCCATCGACTCGTCGCACTCTGTTGTCCTCTACGGTGCTGCGGAAGAGGTAAGTCGGTTCGCCTTTGTCGTTGACACCCACAGGCTCCTCCTTGGCCTGGTGCCACTGGCTCAAGATGCTCTCATCCCAGCTTTCGCCGGCATTGCCCATTCTCTGCAGTGCTGGCAGCAGTGATGAAGGCTGGGGCTCGCAACTTTCGTTGCGATCAGCCATGGTGGCAACCACTGACGACTGACTAGAGCCGGCGGCGCAGAGAGAGATCAGACGCTATCACTCTCAGGTACGTGAGCATGCGATGCATCTGGCATCAGATCTGTCTGTGATGTTTTGATGTGTTGCAGGCCTTGCCTCATTCGAGCCATCCGGCACATCGTAGCACATCACATATCGCTCATCACGCACCAGACATACACATTCAGGTAGGCAAGGAGGCAGCGGAGAATGATGCGTCCATTGCGTCAGATCTGTCTGTCACGTCATCTGTGTGTGCAGTGGCCCATTGTGAGCATGGGTGACCGTGCTGTTGGCCTGCTCGACGGCCGTGACGTCTATGCTGATGGCCACGGCGGCTACGCTGTGAAGGTCGAGGGCGAGATGCGCCCGCTGCCGCCCTCCGCCAACGACAAAATCATCATGTTCGCTGACGTCCTCAGGTGAGAGAGCGCCATGTTGGATGGATGGATGGATGCATCGCCGCCTTCTCATGCATCTCTATCTGTCTGTGTCGGTATGGACGTGTCAGCCATGGCGCCACATTGCAGCCTCAGACGGCCAACGGCAGCACCAGTGAGGGCAACGGCCATGAGGGCTTCATGCTGTATCCCAGCGGCGCGTATCACAAGGTGGTGCAGGAGGGGACCGGCAGGGTGCCCACACTCAACGACAGAATCAAGCACGACCAGAGTACGTGGCGTGATGGATTCGAGGGCCAGGACAAAGCCTACGCTGAGCGTGGGGAGGAATGGCGTGTGTCTGATCGGAGTGGGTGGCTGCGTGAGGCGTGGCTGTCGATGCGGGAAGGGGAAGTGAGGCAAATCATACTGCCATACGACAGTTACGGCACCTACAATCAGCTGCGGTTGATCAGCATCATAGTGTAGGAGAGAGTGCACACACACACACACACAGGTGGGGGCGGCTGTGTGTGTCATACACTCGTGTGTGCGGCCGGGGACTCCTCGCTCGTCGCCTGGCTGACTGTGTGCTTCGGTTCTGATTGGAGAAGGGGGAAAGTGCCGCCCCTCTCACTCACTCACTCACCCACTCTCTGTCTGTCTGTCTGTCTGTCTGGTAGTTCTTCGTTTTGTTTGTCCGTTGTGCTCCCGTCTCCGCTGGCCGGCTGTGCGTATTGTGGTTGCCCCTCTGTGATACCATGGGCGACATGTGCCCACTCTCGCCACCTCTCTCTCTCTCTCTCTCTCTGTGTGTGTGTGTGGGGGTGTGTGTAAATATTAAGAGGGGCATACAAACTGCGGCGGAGTCAGTTTGTCAGTTCGTCAGATACACACGGGGCCACCGCTTTGCCTTTTAAGCGGTCGGCGGCCAGACAGGCCGATGACAGAATGGCGTATGTGGGCATTGGGGATGTCTTGCTGGCTGTCTGTGTGGCACAGACTCATTCCGGACGATTTCTGTGTGTGTTGACCTCTCACGCAGACACACACACCAATTTGCGACACATACATAAAGTGGCGTTGAGTTGATGCACAAGCTCAGATGTCCCGCTGCATCGATCGGTCGTCTAGCTCTCAGCAATGCAGGCGAACGCTTTTGCAAAGACCACACTCGAGCTGGTGCAGCGGTCAAGTCCTCCTGGGGACAGCTCCCGGGCCATGAAGACCTCCTTTGGTACTCGGTCTCGAATCGGGCGGCTGCATCCACAGAGAAGCCGAACCTCTGATAGTACTTAGGCGCCCCGACCACAAAGGCCACCAGGCAGTGGCCGTCTTGTTCCAGCTCGGCCAGGCCTTGCTTGATCAGAGCAGAGCCGACGCCAGTGCCTAGATGGGCCGGCAGCACGGCCACGGGAGCCAGTGTCACACACTGGAGGGGCTGCTGCAAGCAAGAGAACAGGACGTGGCCGAGGCCACCAAAGCGACTCACTCTCGCCGCTGTAGCCGTATTGGGAGGCGGCGAACGCAGTGGCCACGACTGCACGAATGGCGGTGAAGTCACTGGGCTGCTCTGGTCTTATCAGCATCATCCAGTCAATTCAATGAGCTCCTGTCGACACACAAGCACATCGGATCGCTGAGCATCTCTGATCCTCTAGCACATCGGATCGCTGAGCATCTCTGATCCTCTCTCGTCGCTGCGGGCTGCAGCGTGTACCTGGACTCCTTCATTTCTTCAACCGCCCATCCCTCCCACCAGATCTTCAAATTGCGCCAACCTTCAGGCTCGCCATTTTCAGCTCGCAACAGCGGGAGAGGAGAAGGAGGAAGAGGGAGGAGTGATCTGCATATCAGGGGGTCAGATCTGCCATTTGCAACAAGCATTGGCATGCGTCGCCTCGCGTCTTCGCTGTACAGCACTCTCCGATCGGCGTGTGCAGCATTCAAGCATCCCCACTCCCGCGGCGAGGCGACATCGGCATCTCCCTCCTCGCCCCTGCAGTACCACATCGACAAGTTGGGCGTCCATCTGACTCTTCCCAGCCACCCCTCCATGGGGCCGACGGTCAGCACCTTCACACATGAGCAGCTTAGGGAGAACTGCCGGTGCCCGCAATGCTATATCAAGACAGCAGATCAGCGACGGCCTCTGCGCTTCTCTGGTACACACGGGCAAAGGAGGATGAAGGCCATGCGGGTTCTTGGTTGGTCTGTGATGGGTGGGGTGTGTGTGTGTGTGCAGATGTGAGTGTGACGTCGCTGAACCACTCGAAGGAGCATAGCGGGTGGCTGGACGTGCACTTCTCAGACGGCCACATCGGCCAGGTGCCCTTCCTCCACCCCCTCTCACCCTCTGCCCACACCCACAAGCAGCCCCTCCCCACGTCAGCAACGTCGTGGGACCCACGGGCCGGCCTGCACATCACCAAGGCGCCGTGGAGCGGCCCAATCGACGCCCTCCAGTGGCACGACTACCCCTCACTGATGGCGGCGCGTGACAGCGATACGGCCGCGTATGACATGGGGTTGTTCGCCGTGTATTGTGAGCTGGAGAGGCATGGGCTGGCGAAGCTGCGTGCAGCCGGGACGGCCAAGGGTGTGGTGGCGAGCCTCTCGACAGACCTTTCGGGGTATGTCATTCAGTCGCCGTGGGGGTCGATCTTCGACATACAAAACACACGGTGGGTGGGTGCGTGGGTGAGAGAGAGAGAGAACCGAGAGCTCTAGGCGGCATGACTTCTCTTCTCTCCTTGTGGTGGCCCTATACGCAGGAAGGGCAACAATGTGGCGTACGGTTCCAGCGATGCCATCAAGCCGCACACCGACACGTGCTACTTCGAGACCCCTCCGGGGCTGATCATGCTGCACTGCGTCACGCCGGCAGAGAGAGGCGGCCACTCGGTCTTCTCTGACGGCCTCTTCGCTGCGGAGAAGCTCCGGCGCGAGCATCCTGACGCATTTGAGTCAGTGAGTGAATAGAGGGCAGGGGAAAGGTGCATAGGTGCATCTGGAGTGTCGTGGCTGTCTGTCTGTCAGGTTGTTGTGTCGCGTGCCTGTGCCCTACCGCGTGTGCATCGACGACTGGGACTGCCTCGCTGAGCACCCGGTCTTCCGCCTTAACGAACAAGGCGACGTCACACAGGTGCGGTGCGCCGGCAGCCACTCCTTCCGCATCAGGGCATTCCATTCGACTGTGTCTGTGTGTGTCTGTCTGTCTGCAGGTGTGTTTTGCCGACTTTTCACGTTTCTCGTTGGGCTGGCGTCGGCCGGCGAGTGAGCTGTCGGCCATGTATGAGGCGCTGGGGCTCTTCCGAGAGATCGTCAACGACCCCGCCAACCAGGTGGTCATGCCCTTGCAAGAAGGTACCCAAGTATTCCACACGTGTCCGTGTGTTGGTCCGTGCATGCGTGTGTGTTGGGCTGGCTTGTGTTGTGTTGTGTTGTGGTTGTGTGTTTAGGTGAGGTGGTGATAATGGACAACTACCGAGTGCTGCATGCCCGCACGGACTTCAGCGGCCACAGATACCTCGAGGGATGCTACATCGACTGGATGGTGGGGACAGACAGACAAGACAGACACACACGCCGGCCATGCAGCCCGACGGATGTAAGTAACCCCTGTGTGTGTGTGTGTGTGCAGGGCACCCGGGCGCAGGCCCGTCGGAGGGGATGGAACTGTCTCAAGAGCGATAGATTTGGTGCCGCGACGCGGGGGATGCTAACTGGCTGAGTGATCGACCCGTCACGTGTTGCAACGATGGCAACAGTGACACGTGCTCTCTTGTGCACGCGTGTGGGTGAATGTGTGTGTGTGTGTGTGTGTGTGTCCCCCCCGCCCCGCCAAACAATGACTGCATTTGTGAGGGTGGGTCTCAGAGACAATGGACCACGTTTGTGTATGGCTGTTTATGTGTGTCTCGGTGAGAAAGTCCGCGATTGTGACCGTGATTGCGTGTTGGGGTGGCGTCTTGTAAAAGGCCCGCCGGTGACGCTTCGAAGCACCCGCTGCTGTGTGTGGCGTTTCGTGACGTCTATGGTGTCGGCCGCTGTGCACGTGCCCCCGAACAGCAACACACGACAACACGTGGCAGTGAGTGCATTTGGCGTGTGTGGATGTTGTGTACATATAATATACATCACCGTTTTTGACCACTGGGTGTTCCCACCACCCATCCATGCCATATGTGAGTGTGGTTTGGTCTTTTTTGCCAGCCGATGGATGCACACCAACGCATTGCATGGCTGGGTGGGTGGATGGATGGAACGAATGGATGGATGGGGCCCATCTTGATTGTCGGGTTTTGTCTTTTTTGTGTTGTGTGTGGGCTGGCCATATAGGTATCCCATATATTGCTGTGCGCCGTTGCGTGCACACCAGACAGACAGACAGTGAGGTGAAGTGAGGTGAGGTGAGGTGAACCTGGCTGTGCTGTCCTCCCCAGTTGTCGGTCAGTTGTGTGTTACTTGAGAGCATCAACACCTGCGACTGTTGATGCTCGTCAGTGGCAAACGACTGACACAGACAATTGAGCGGGGCAGACCGGAACGAACGACGGCGATAGTGTCTGTGTGGATGCCTTTGCGTCAGACTCTGCGATGGCTGCGAAGGGGCGGGAGGATGACAATGGTGAGATCTCATCAGTTAAGATGAAAGATGATGAGGGCAGGATGGGGCAGGCTGGCGGCACCCGATGCGGCAGGACCGTCCATCTCACCGGGGGGTCCCAAGTGATCTTGTGGACTGTCGTTGATGCTGCCCGAATGGCATCGATATCGGGCGGGAAAGGGGGGAGAGGAGGCGCCGAGTAAATCTTGGCCAAAAAGCTCGCAGATCGCGAAGTAAACGTGTGAAACCTGAGGAGATGATGTTGGTTTCGCTTCCCGTCCTGTTGGTGCTCGTCCCGACGGTCCTCGCCGACACGTCACAGGCAAAATGTGATAGCGATGGCGACAAATGCGTCAATCCGATGGCTGGTGCGTAGCAGAGGGGCGGGAGGGCAGATAAGACCATGAAACGGGCAGATGAGGGCCATGCTCGTGGTATGTGTGCAGGATCTTCATTCGAGAGCCAAAAAGACGACCAAATGGGCAAGATCAAGGGAGGTCAGCATAGATCCACGCGTGGAGTGAGGTTGTGTGGACAAATCATACATGATATCGCCTTTTGTGTGGTTGATATACAGAGGTTGGGTCAATCGTCCGGCTGAACGTCGCCGGCACCGAATTCCAGGTGGCCAACGCGACGCTCGCCCGCCGTCCTCACACGAGGCTGGGCCAGTTCGTGACCAACGAGGGCACAGCGGAGTACCAGCTCATTCGCGCGGACCGGCCCGTCTTCATCGACGCCGACCCGCACCTCTTCCCCCTGGTGCTCGAGTACCATCGCCACGGCACGCCCATTCTCACCGACGGCTCGGTGGACGTCCGCAAGGTGGTCCGTGAGCTGCGGCTTTTCGGCATAGAGGACGTCACAGAGGAGGCCATCCAGCCGACCAAGGAGGCCGTGATGCAGCGGAAGGACGAGATGGTGGACCGTGTGGGCAGGAAGGTGGCGCAGCTGCTGCTGCCCAAGCTGGTCGACCAGCACCAGCAGCTGGAAGCGGCCAAGAAGGACCAGGCCGACAAGGAGATGAGCATCAAGCCGTACGATTTGAAGAAACTGCTGGATGCGGCATGCAAGTGCCTGGACGTGCCCATGGCCGCCATCGCTGCCTACCGGAAGCAGCTGAAGAGCGACAAGGACGAGCTGGACGCATTTGTGTCTGTGGTGCACACGGAGATGATGAAGATGCTGCCCCCCACGGGCCCCTGGCCGATCCTCAAGCCACACACCGAGGGCGGCAGCTTCCAGCTGGCCGTCATGTAGGTAGTCAGTGCACCACACAGACGGACACACCGATTGGCACAGCATAGCTGGTAGAGGGACGGAGAGAGGGAGGGGCTGTAGTTGGTGTGTGGAGGGAGGGAGGGAGGGAGGGAGAGTGGCGTCTTGATGGCGTGGCGTGGTGTGGTATGGTGTAGTGTGGTGTGGTGTGGTGTGGTGTGCGTGTGGTTTAAGAGAGAGAGGGGCCTTCATCTACAGCGTGGATGGTGCGGTGTGGGGGGAACGGGACGGTTGTGTCAAGTGGCAGACGGAAACCAATTCAACTTAAGCATACATGGATGGATGGATGGATGGATGGCGGCATGTATGTCCCCCACTGCACCGGTCCGGTCGGTTCGCATCAACGAATCACAAGCGACATTCAGCCCTCGCAAACCGCTGTCGCTCGTCGTTCCACCACCCCCTCTCTCAGCACGCTTACATCCGTGACGAGTCAGTGTGCTCAGAGAAGAAGAAAGAGGACGACAAGCCACAGCAGCCCGCGGTAAGATGTTCTCGCTGCCAACATACCCTCCCACTGCCCACAACGAATATACTCACTCAGTAAAGGCATTCAGCTGCCCTTCCAGCTAAAGTCGAAGTTGGTCACCACCTCACAGTCAGCCCTGCACCACACACACGTCACATCAGACACACAGATTGATTACAGAGAGTATCGGCGACCGTGTGTGTGTGTGTGTGTGTTGGGGAGGGCGACAAACATACTTGAGTCCGACGAATCTGGACATGTCGAACATGCACACGGCCAACTCGACGTGCTTCAAGTTGGGACAAGACGTGAACAAACGCTCCACAGCTCTGATCAAGGGAATCAACCCACAATACACACAAGCCGTCTCCGGCTCTGTGCTCGTGTGGGTGGTTGAGGTGATATGCATAGATAGGTACATTTCGTGGATGTTAACACAGAAGGTGAGGTAGATCTTCTCGAGCTTCGGGTGGCTCATCACGGGCTCCTGCACAACACAACACACCGCACCACAGCAGACAAGGCACACACGTCGTTGTGAGTAGAGCACAGCACCGTTTGAAGACCCTCCATGGTGGTATGGGTGGCTGCCTCTGTCTTTCAGTGCACCTGTAGTTGGCAGCAGTGTCCCAGGTCCAGGGCTAGCAGGTTGGGGCAGAGGCGGAACAAGTCTGTCACCGCCTCGTCGCGCAACTTCTGACACGTCGCCAACACCTGCATCCACACACACACACACACACAGACAGACAGACAGACCACAGTCGATTTTGTCGGCTCGCTGGCTTCGTCGTGGTTTAGAGTCGATGTATGTGCCCACCAGTGTGTGCAGGTGTGTGGATGCGAATCGCGCCACCTCTACAGACGACTGCAGCAAATTCACAGACCTGACATACACACAGCGAGAGAGACAGAGAGACAGAGAGGCATCACATCACGATGTACGCAGCCGTGAGTGTGAGTGTGTCTGTGTGGTCCCTCCCCCACCTGAGGTTAGGGCAGTGGTTGAATGCGGCCGACACGGCCGTGTCCTGCAGCTGTGGGCAGTGCAGCAGCCGCAGATCTTCCACACTGCGGCTAGATATCACAGGATTCAACAACGACTTGCAACCTGACACACACCAAACACACACACACAGTCTCCTCCGTATCCACTCCACTCCACCTCATGTGTGTGTGTGGCCTGGCCTGTGATGTGCGTACCGCACCTACCGGACAGGTCGAGCTGTTTGAGTGCGGGACATGGTTTGTGTTTGAAGAACTCTGTGAGTGTCTGGTCCGTCAGCTGCCGCGTGTTGAGCAGCGCCAGACGGACCAGCTTCGGGTTCGACTCGAGGAAACTGACCACACACACACATGTCACCAGACAAGTAAGTCGAATGGCGCCGTTGTACGCGCGTGTGTGTTGGTGCCATCCTCCCCACCTGAAGTTGATGGACCTGCACTTGGAGATCTCCAGCGACGTCACATTAGGACACGCCTTCATGATCTGGACAGCACACAACACAACACAACCTACGGATGGATGGATGGATGGACCCACACACGATATCCGTGTGTCTGTCTGTGTGCCTCATTCATTGCATTGGTTGTGTGCGGACCTGCTTGAGTTGCATGTCGGTGAGGAAGTTGACCGAGTAGAGCGATATGGTCGTCAGGCTCTCGCTCTTGAGAGCCAGCTCGGGCGACCGCAGCCCCTGCGCCGTCTGCAGGTGGATCGACTGCAGCACCGACGTGCTCCGCAGCAACCAACCCAACGTCTCGTCAGCCAACGAATCTGACCACCGGACCACACATCACATCACATCACATACCCACCGCAACGCAACGAATGAATGAAACCGTGCAGCTCCCTCCCTCCCTCCCCCCACTAGCTGACCTGCTAATCTGAGGTCCTCGAGCTCCAGTTGGCACACGGGGAACTCCACCTCCTCGTCCGCCTCCTTGCCGCCCTTCTTCTTGCCACCCTTCTTGCTGCCGTTGCTGCTGCTGCCCTTCGACGGAGCTGGTGCTGGTGCTGCTACCGGTTCCGGGGCAGGAGCAGAGCTAGGGCCAGGTGCAGGGCCGGGCGCTGGTGCCGACGCCGCATCGCTCACCGATGACGAACGATTTGCCATGGGGCTGCTGCTGGACTGCACAGCACACACAGCCCAGACAGACGTGCGCACCACACGCAGTGAAGGTAAATGATGCTTTTGGTCTGGTTGGTCCCATTTCGTTTGCTCACCGGCGAGACGGTCCCCGGCCCAGCCACAGATGCCCTCTGAGCCCCCGCAGCGGCGGGCGGTGGCGAGCCGTCCCGCATGGCCCGCATGGCGCCGGGCGGGACGACAGTACTGCCGGGATGCTCCGCGCCCTCGGGCTGCCCCCATACGCTCACCGCATACCCCGGCCGCCCCACCCCGGGACCACTCACCACCGCCCGGCTGATCTGCTGCTGCGATGACACGTCGCTCGCACCACCCGCACCCGCAGCACCGGCTGCACCAGCAGCAGCAGCAGCCGTGGCAGCGCTTGGCTCACGCAGCCGGGCGTCGAGTTTCTTGACGGTGGCGCGAGTGAGGAGCTGCACCAGTGGTTTGCGGGGCAGATCGAATGAGAGGCTGAGTTCGGAGAGGATGTGTGGCGGGGGCGGGAATGCGATGAGCACCTCGAAGGCGTCCAGGGTGTCGAAGGAGCCGTGGAATCGCCGCAGCCGGGGGTACGTGGGTGCCCATGGCTGCTTGAAAATCTGGTGCCGCCCCTTGTCGACGGCCCCCGGGACAGATTCGTCGAAGAACAAGTCCTCCACCTCCTCGTTGAGCTGGTCCAAGAACTCACGGCACACGAGCTGCAGCAGCGCCACGTCAGGGTGCACCTCGCACACGCCGCCACGCACCAGCTCAGCGCCGGCCAGATGGCGGAACACGTGGGTCCGCAGAGGGGGTGGGAGGCCGACTATGTCCATGGCGACAGTGTCGGGTGGGCGCCAACGCACCAACAAGTAAACCGGATTCTCCCCTCCACCTTGGCTCGCAAGGTTTCCGGGTTTCAAACCCTGTCGGATGCTTCACTTCACCGAACGGACACGTCATGAATTATCTTACGCCTAGCTGAGATCCACCGCGATGTGGCTCTGCGTGACAGTCGCGCTCTTGTCCCTCACCCTCTCCGCCGCCTTCATCGTCCCCCTACGCACCCCTCCCAACCCCAGCACACGCCTCCACGCGGCCAAGACGACGGGCATGCCGCCCAAGGATCAGCTGCTTAAGGAGCTGCTGGCGGAGAAGGATAGGCGGCTTGCCGCGAAGGAGGACATGCTGGAAAAGCTGCTTGCGGGCAAGGACATGCTCATTCAGGAGAAGGACAAGCGGATTGCAGACAAGGACAAGCTGTTGCTCGACTACGAGAAGCGCCTGATGATGGCGGAAGGGCTTCTCAACCCCCGCACAGTCTTCGAGAAGCTCCTCATCAAGGCGTTACACGACGCCAGACTCATTCGCCAGCCCACTATGTTGGCGCCGGAGACCGTCGCGGGTAAGCTGGCATACGTCTGCAAGGAGCTCCAGCTCAACGGTGGCCCTCGGCAGGACGACCGGGACACTGTGCAGCGCTTCTGGAACGCATTCAGCAAGTGCAGCACCACGCCCGGGACGGACATCCACACCTTCTACACCAACATGTACACCGTCCTCAAGGAACGTACGTATGAGAAAAAGCAGTTAGTTGGAGCGAATTGACGAGTGCCACTTGGCTGTTTGTGTGCGATGTGTGTGCACAGCCATACATGGCTACCCGGTTTTCGGCCTTGAGGTGGCCGTCCACCCCAGCCTGCCCGAAGAGTACCGCTGTGTCATCAAAGAGTTTGCCGACCACTGGGGCTTGAAGATCCGAGTTCTCGACCCGGCAGAGGTGGCCACATGAGCGGCAGACAGAGCGCGGGAGCGGCGAATCAGTAGCCCACTGGCCTGTGTGCTGCCCCGCGCGACACATCACCGTCTACACTTCAGTGCTTGCTTTTGCCTCGCTGCATTGATGCGAAAGGTTCGGTCTGTCTGTCTGTCTGTCCGTCTGTCGTCTGTACATACACGCACACAGTTTTTCCGTATCTCTCTCCTCTCTCCCTCTCTTGATGAGTGCTAGGCTGGCCATGGTGACGATCTTGATGAGTGAGTGCACGCTGTGGGTACGGGACGAGGCTGGCCATAGTGAGGATGATGACGATGACGATGCGCTGGGTGAGAACGATCGCACATCGCCGGCAGAGTAGACAGAGGGAGGGGGCGTTGTCGGTGTGGCATGCATACATGTTGCCGATAGATTGACCGACCGACAGAGACAGAGTCAGTCAGAAACAGATGAATGGCACAGGGAAAAAGCGAGACACACCCTTCATTTAACGTATCCCTTCCTGTCTCTCACGGACGAGTAGAAACGTCTGTCTGTCCGGGTGTGTCTGTCCGTGAGTGTGGCTGTTCGTGTGTCTGTCTGTACGTATGTATGTATGTATGTATGTATGTATGTGAGCAGCCTGCCTGCCTGCATGACCTAGCTCCCCCCGACGATGCATTGCATCGTCTGCCCAACTCGCCGCTCGCGAGGCTCGCGCGCGCGCAAGTTCAGGGTTTAATACCCTGAAGGTTTGAAACCCTAGAAAAGGTCGAGCGGAAGAGTGACGAGGAGGCAGCCGCTATGCTGACGTCAGCACTGCGTCCCAGCCTTTTGCGGCATGCCTCGGTCCATCCATCGGCTTGGCGCTCCGTCCCCTGCCGTCTGTTCAGCACAGTCAGCCAGTTCGCCACCGTAGATCCCGTGTCGCTGAGTGCCAGCGAAGTCCACCACATCGAGAACCTTGTCGAGGGCGAATGGCGCAAGTCCAAGGAGACCTATAGCGTGGTGGACCCACTCAATGGCGAACCATTCATCAAGGCACCGAAAACGACGGTAGGTACTAGGCATGAGAGCAATGGACAAATGGATGGATGGATGTGCCACGGCTGTGTGAGTGAATGGATGGGCTGTCTTTGGATGGGTGTGTGATTCGTGTGTGACTCAGAGCGATGAGTTGGGTCCGTTTGTATCGAGTCTGAAGAAGGTGCCCAAGAGCGGCCGACACAACCCACTCAAAAGCCCGGAGAGGTGCGCGCGCGCACACACACACACACACACACACACACAGAGCACACACACAGAGCACACACACACACGTCAGGTGGCTTCGCGTCTATGCACTTTGCACATTGCCCATTCATTCAGGTATCTGATGTACGGCCGTGTGTTCCAGAAGGCTGCCGAGCACCTGCACGACCCCGAGGTGCTCGACTTCTTCGTCAAGTGCATCCAGAGGGTCATGCCCAAGTCATACGCACAGGCAACCTTGAAACACACACGGGACGGGGGACGAGTCAAGGCAGGGAAGGGGCATCCCATCCCTGTGTGTGTGTCTGTGTGTGTGTGTGTGTGTGCAGTGCAAGGGCGAGATGACCATCATCCGCACCTTCCTGGAGAACTTCAGCGGCGACTCGGTAACTAAGGAACTAGTGAATGATTGATAGGGAGGGAGGGAGGGAGAGGAGCAGGCCGTATCACATCAATGGTAGCCAGCCGGGGTCTATCGTGGTTTGTTGCCCGTTGACTGACTGACATTGGTGTGTGTACATGTATTGTATGTGTGCAGGTACGTTTCCTGTGTCGTGGCTTCACCGTGGCGGGGGACCATCTCGGGCAGCAGTCGCAAGGGTACAGGTGGCCGTACGGCCCCGTGGCCGTCATCTCCCCCTTCAACTTCCCTCTAGAGATCTGCGGCATGCAGGTGTGTTTGTGGGTGGGAGGGATAAGTACTTTGGTCCACATCAGCGACAACGGACCATTGTGTGCGTGTGTGTGTGTAGATGTTGGGCGCGGCGATGGTGGGCAACAAGCCGGTGGTCAAGACGGAGAGCACCATGGGGATGCCCGTCGAGCAGTTCATCCGGTTCATGCACTTCTGCGGACTCCCCAAGGACGAAATCGACTTCATCAGCTGCAGGTACAGATAACCATACCCTCATACACACAGACAGGCATGATAAGAGAATCCTGCATGTGTGTGCGCAGAGAGGCATATCGTTCTCTCTCTCTCTCTCTCTGCATGTCTGTGTGTGTGTGTGTGTGTGTGTGTCTCAGGGGTCCGGTGATGAGTGATCTGGTCAGCCGTGCTGCCGTGCGCATGGTGCAGTTCACAGGCTCGTCCGAGACCTCTGAGAAGCTCAGCAAGCTCACCAAGGGTCGCATGAAGACAGAGGACTCTGGCTTCGACTGGTACATATGGCATCCATCGCGACACAAGGCCATGCCACCGTCCGTCCCTATCTATGGTGTCTGCATGTGTATCGGTGTGTGTGTGTGTGGTGGGCTGCCTGGCTGCTGTGTCTGTCTGTCTGTCTGTCAGGAAGATATTGGGTCCCGATGTGAGTGACCCCGAGTACGTGGCCTGGCAGTGCGACCAGGACGCATACGCCATGTCGGGTACGTGCGGTACCTACCGCCATCCCCACCGCACCACACAACACAACACGGCCACGACACAAGCAACGCGATCGACTCGACAGACGGTTTCTTTCTTTTTCACTGATTGCGTGTTTCATTCAATTCAGGCCAGAAGTGTTCTGCGCAGTCGCTGGTGGCCGCGCACAAGAACTGGGTGAGTGCTGGCCTCTACGACAAGGTCGCCGCACTCGCCAAGAGAAGAAGGTCAACCAGCCGGGCCAGACACAAATGTCTGACCACACAATGCAAGGCAACGCAAGGCACTCCATCCATCATCCATACGATACGTGTGTGTCCTTTCGCTTCGTGTGTGCAGCCTGGCTGAGCTGACGTTGTCGCCAGTGCTCTCCCACACCACCAAAGACATCATGGACCACATCGAGGTTGGTGACTCACGTCACCACCCACCCACACACGCACCGCAGCCACCACAACCGCAAATCCTCCACGGGTGCGGTGCAGGCCTTGTCGAGTCTCCCCGGTGCCCGCCTGCTGTTTGGCGGCCGTCCTTTGGAGGACCACAAGATCCCGGAGCAGTATGGTGCCGTGGAGCCTTCTGCAGTGCTGGTGCCTTTGGACACGCTGCTGCAGCCCAACTTCTTCCCCACCTGCACGAGGGAGCTGTTCGGGCCGGTGCAGGTGGTCACTGAGTGGCAAGACGGAGAGGAAGGCAAGCTTATCGAGATGTGCGAATGGTACAGTACAGAGCGACTGTGCCAACGAATGCATCTCTGAGGAGGAGGCGACTGGTGTGTTGGGTATATGTGTGTGTCTGTGTGTGTGTGTTTGTGTGTTTGTGTGTGTGTGTGTGTGTGTGCAGGATGTCTCACCACTTGACGGCAGCCGTGGTGTCGAGTGACATGTTGTTCCTTCAGAAGATCCTGGGCAGCACCGTCAACGGCACCACATACGCAGGGCTGAGGGCCAGAACCACCGGCGCGCCACAAAACCACTGGTCGGCTCCCATGTCTGTCTGTCTTGCTTCCTTCGTTTTGTTTTGTGCTCACTTCGTGTCGCTGTCTCTCTGTCTGTGTGCCTCGCTCGGTTCGTGTGTGCAGGTTTGGTCCGGCTGGCGACCCCATGGCAGCAGGTATCGGCACGCCCGAGGCCATCCTGCAGACGTGGACCTGCCACAGGGAGGTGGTGTTTGACCATGGGCCCATCCCTGAGGGATGGACGACACCACCACCCACTTAGGCAGGCAGACAGACAGACCACCAATGTGCTATGCGTGTGTTGTGCATGGCTCATTTGTCTTTCTCACATCTCCTGGCCCAGCGGCGAGCAAGCCAAGCCAAGCCGTCTTTTTCTGTCGTAGACAGACAGACACGTGTAGTGCGTGTGTACGTGTGTGTCTATGTTATGTGTGCGTGTGCGGGGCGGGGCGGCCATGCCAGGCATCGAGGACGTTTCTCTCCCGTATCCGCCATGCCTGTGTGTAGTATATGTGTGTGTTTTATGTATTATGTTTTGTGTGCGGCATGGCATCCGATCCGTGCGTTGGTGTGGAAGTGTGTACTATGGCGGTGGCTGTGGGTGGCCTGCCATGGATGCATCCGATGCATGAGGGAGGACACATTTCTCAGTCAGTCCGCGCGTGTTTCTTAACACATGCCTCCCACCCGTGCACCGCACCGCACCGCACCACTCAGCTGATTCTATCGACCTCGGCTGTCTGGCGGCCCTCCCCCACCTCTCTGTGTGATGGGAGGCGGCTGGCTAATGTCCATCGACAGGACAGCCAAACTGACACGGGCGGCTTTCTGATGACCATGGGTGCTCGAGTGACGCCCCATGGACAGTTACGGGCCACACAATGAACAATGAACGATGCGATGCATGCCCCTACCTGGCGTGTGCAAGTAAGTAACTGAAAGAGGACCGGACCATGGCAACAGACAGTCCTTCAAGAATTGACACACACGCCTGTCACGCATGGCCAGTCTGGCAAACATCCAACACGCATCGTCTTCCGCCCGCCTCCAAGCGAACGTCTGTCTTCGCCCGACTCGTGCACCGCGTGTGTAATCGATCTCAGCCGACCGAACACACCCACGATGCACAATCTGGTCACACAAACGTTCGCATGAAATCGGCAAACACGGCAATCCAAACCAGCACCAATAGGGCTCGCAACAACCATCACCGCAGCGCACCAACAACGACCACAACCCGCCCCTCTTTCTCACGCAAGCTACACCGCCCCTCCCCCCTTCGCCGCTCGCTACGCTACGTGCATCCCATCCCATCTTGCCATCTTGCCATGTTGTTAGGTCTTCTTGGCCATGAGTTTCTTGGGCAGCTGGTCGATCGGTGTGGTCTTGAGCAAAAACAGCCGCTGCGCCCGCGCCAGCGGCGTGCCGCCACACTTGAGCCCCAGCTGCTTGAGCTTGTGCTTGATCACATCCGCATGGTACACCTCCAGCAGCCCCTCAGCCGACTCCCACGCCCCGCTCGCAGCCGACACGTCGATGGCCGCCGCCTCCCTCTCCCACCTGGCATCCTCTTCCTTCTTCCTCTCGTCGATCTCCATGCCCTCTCTCTCATCGGGTGCGGGTGTGGGTGTGGGGGAGGGAGAAGATGTCAGCTTCAGCTGGTCGATGGCCGGCAGCGGCGACTCAGACGTGCCAGCGTTGTTCACGCTCGGGGGTCTGTCGATGGGCGTGTCGGGGGTCTTGGAGGGGACAGAGGGGGTGGGGGGAGCGGAGCGGGCGGGGACGGGCGGAGGCGCCTTGAAGGCGGTGGGTGGCATCTTCTTGGGCGGCGAGAGAGACGACGACGCCGGCTTTGCCTTCTCCTCCTCCTTGGTGTCCTGGTCTTGTTCGGCATCCTCGTCGTCGATGAGTGATGGATCTTCGAACCACAGGCGCTTGATGTTGCCCGACGGCTGCGGCCGCTTCTTGGCCAGCTCGGCGGTGCGCTTCCTTTCCTCAGTCAGCCCCTCCCGCACGATGTCCTTCATCGTCCCCGCACGCTGCTTCAAAGCCTTGATGTACGTGCCGTCCAGACCGACAGCAGGAGCTGCCTGCTGCTGCTGCGGCTGGTGCGGCTGCTTGGTCACGGCCGCTTCCCCCCCACCCAGCGCCTTGACGAGATCGTCGTCCTGTTTCTTCTTCTCCAGCCAGTCCTTGATGCGCTTCACCGCCTGTGCGTGGCGGATGCGGCGGCCGGAGAGGTCACGGCAGGCGTCGAAGTTGGTGGTCTTCTTCTGACGACCCTTCTGGCCCCGCAGCAGCGACCCGAATCCCCCCTTGCCGCCCACCAGACGCAACAGCACCTTCAACGAGCATCCTTGGTCGATGAGGGACGGCTGGATGAAGGGGTGGCTCGAGAGCTCCAGGCCGTTGATGACCAGGCGCTGCGACTCGACAGGGATGCCGTAGAGGCGCTCGACGGTGTCGGCGAAGAAGGATGATGGCAGGGGTGTGTGTAGAGGGTATTGAAAACAGCGAGTGCCATACGAATCTGGCAAGTCAACAAGGCAGTTGCCTACCGCACACCCAGTCATCTCACTCATTCGCGTGGATGGCATCGCCATCACAGGGCAAACGTGAAACTTACGGAGGGAGAGGGTGGTTGGCGCCCAACAATTCCGTCATTTTCGAGATACCTTCGAGTTGATCTGTGTCCCCTCTTGCCGCCGTACGATTGATCCGCCCGTCGGTGAGGTGAGTCCCTCGTGATGGGTGACGGAGATCAGGATCTGTCGTTTGACTTCGAGGAGACCATCGAGCGTCAGGACCAGGAGAGGCAGCGGCAGCTGGAGGTGCAGGGACACTCATCCGCCTATGTCGTCAGCAGCACCGGCAGAGGGCGCCACAGCGTCGTGTGCAAGCACTGGCTCAAGGGCATGTGCATGAAGGGCGATGCCTGCGACTTCCTACACCAGTACGACCTCTCCAGGATGCCCGAGTGCCCCACATTCCTCAAAACAGGCACCTGCAACGATGAAAACTGCGTCTTCCAACACATCAAAATGGAGGTGCGTTGAATGCGTTGTGTTGTGAAGAAGGAAGGCACACAAACAGCCGATGGATGGATGACACTCCCGTGTGTGTGGTGTCCGTGTGTGTGTGTGTGTGTGTGTGTGTGTCGGTCCTCAGGAGCGCAAGGAGTGTGTGCCCTTCAAGTATGGCTTCTGCAAGCTCGGCCCTCTTTGCCGGAAGCGGCACGACCGGCTCCCCCAGTCTCAGGCGCCCGAGAAGCTGCCCTACTGGTTCCTCAAGATGATCATCGCCAACCCGGAAGCCATCCCAGAAGATCCCGAGGAGAAGATGGAGGCCTACACACAGAGGCAGGGGCGACTCAACGAGGCCCGAGGAGCCGACGCCGAGGGCATTCTCGCCCCACCCATGAGCTACGGCAGGGGCGATGGCGGCCGCATGGGCCCGCCCGGGTGGAGAGGGGGCAGAATCGGCCGGGAGGGAGGGGGTGGTGGAAGGGTCCCCTTCATAAACGGCCCACGGCCTCTGTTCGAGCAGCGAGTGCGGCCGCCAGTGGTGTCGGCCGCGCCTGCCGAGGCGCCCGAGAGGCTCCCGCTGCTGCCGCCGCCAGAGGAGGGGACGTTTCGGTGTTTCATCATCAAGTCGCACAGCTTGAGGAACATCCTGACGTCTGTGCAGCGTGGGATATGGGCGTCGCTGCCCAACAACACCAATCGCTTCTGCGACGCCTATCGGCAGTGCGACCACGTGGTGCTCATCTTCTCGGCCAACGAGAGTGGGGGCTTCCAGGGCTTTGGGCGGATGGCATCGCTGCCGGACACATCGCTCTACCCTGGTCGGCAGACGCCGACAGAAGAAAACAGAGAGACGGTTGAAGGACGAATCACTCACTGTATGTGTGGCTGTGGGTGGCTATGTGTGCAGGCATCTGGGGCGATTTCTCGACCCGGTTGGCGCCCAACTTTCACGTGCAGTGGCTGCATCAGTGCCAGCTGAGCTTCGAGCGTGTCAGTGACCTCCGGAACCCGTGGAACGAAGACAAACCTCTCAAGAAAAGCCGAGACGGACAGGTAAGGTACACGACGCACGATAGACAGACACACTCATCGCATGCCATGACTGCACCTGTGTTGTGTCCGGTGCGGGCTTCATTCAGGAGCTGCCGAGGGATCTGGCGCTGCGGCTGTGCGCGGCCCTCGCAGCGCAGCCATCAGTGGATCTGCTCGAGAACACTGAGTTCGCCAACCAGCCGAGAATCGACCATGCCACCTTCTTCAACCAACCGCCACCCGAGCCAGCGGCACTGCCACAGGCAGAGCCCCCTCTCCCACTGCCACAAGCAGAGCCACCAGCCCCCTCGGGTGGTGACCAGATGACGAGGCCCTCCCCGCCCCCCATGGCCCCATCGGCACCACTGCCACAAGCAGCCCCACCACGTGGGCCGCCGATCCTCACCCCCACCCCCGCTGCAGCAGCGGCACATCCGTCCAACGGCAGGTATGGCGGCGAGAGGCCTCCCTGGGACGGCAGCCGAGACCAGCGGGGATATGACTATGACTACGGGCCTGGGCCTCCGGTGCCACCGCCACCGCCACCGCCCCAGTATTATCATCGTGGGGGAGGCGGGTATCAAGGTGTGGGCTACTATGGGCCGCAGAGAGGCCGGGGGTACCATCCGTATGGGAGAGGCAGAGGGGGGGTACCGTATCATCACAGGGGTGGCTATGATGCCTATGGGCCGCCGTCTGGGCGGCCGCCGCCGCCGCCACAGGAGTATTATAGTTGACTAATTGATATGATAGCTGGTTGGATCCCTGAGTCTGTCAGAGGGCGGTCCGTGCGTGTCAGAGGGGAGGGAGGGCACTTGTTGTCCTGCTGTGGGTGAGTGGTGGAGTGACAGACAATGATCTTTGTTGTTCATTCAATGCCGTGCCGTGAGAACAATCTAGAAAAGAAAACATACTTTAACAATAAGGAAGTTAGAATTAATGGCAGAATCGATTGTATCGACGGAAATCGTATATACGAAGTTAAATGCGTAGAAACTATAGAGGATAATTTTCATTTAAAGTTTTTAAATTCATTTTTTTTTGAAATATATTTTCTTACTTCCGAAAATTATTGGATCGATTTTGATAAAACTAAACTTGTTTATGCTTTGTGTCATTTTTTCCCCGACCTTATCGATGTCATTGAAAAGCGATAGATGCGACATGTGCCATTGATCTGCATTTGCTGTGTGCGTGAGGTTCTCTTATTTGCAAAGCTTCTCAGCCGACATGCGCGCTGCGTCCGCCGTATGCTCTCTCTTTCGCTGCAGCCCGGCAACTGACAGCCGCTGCAAAGGCAGACGCACGCATCCGAGAGGAAGAATCCCGTCCTTCCCGAAGAGTTTCACGAGACTCCTTAGCTCGCATTCTTTTCATCAATTACACGAATGATCCCTCCCTGACGTGTTCGTGGCACCGCCATCCCACCCTTGTTGCAGACAGGCCGTGGAACCGCTGAATTTTGATGCCTGACACCTCTGGAGGCTCGGCTTGAGCCACGCCAAGCAGCGAACGTTTCCAAAGGGCTGATGGCCGCCCACCGATGCGCCCAGCAGTAGCGCAATGGAACCTATATCGCCTTCCGTGAGACACTCTTCCTTGTTACCTTTTGTGTGGAGGAGCGGGGGCTGAGCGGACAGGGTGATGCCTCTGCGGACAGCAAGGGGTCTGGAGGAGGTGGGCGTGGCGATGAGACAAGGCGGGAGTCGGGGCGACGAGAGGAGAGCTGACCGGGCCGCACTGAGAACCAAGAAGCGAAATGGTGAGTGAGAGACCAACAGAAAGGGAAGGGCTGGCGGGCTGAGAGGAAAGGAGCCATCAATTGGTGGCCTGTTTGTTGTGCCTGTCTGTCTGTCCTGTCTGTGGTTTCGTTCGTCAGGTCTTCACGCTCTTCGTCACGCCGAGCCCAATGGCCCTCCCCTCGCCCCATCAATAGAGCGATTTCCGCCCTCCATCCCCTCAGAGCCGCGCGTCGCCATCTCCCCCTCCTCACGCGCAAGCCAAAGGAGCAGAGCCACCACAGCTACCGATAGAAGGAAACGAGGCCGGCCATCGTCGTCAACCACCACCAGTGGGCTGCAGCGGGGCAGCAGTGGGGTCGAGAGGCACCTGCACGTCTCCAAGGAGAGGGAGAATGACCCCATGTCGCCCACCATCGTGCGGACGCCCTCTGGTGAGCGCGTCCGGCTGCTGCCGACGTTCCAGCCAGTGCGGTCGACCTCGTCTGCATCTCTCCGGCCGCCCACGTCCCCCTCACCCCCCTTGCCACCTTCTGACGTGTCTGCCACCGGGCTGCCCGGCTTTCCATACGCCCATCCCATCCCCGGGGCGTGTGGGTACGGCGGGTACGGCTATCAGCCCTACAGCGATCCTCTCTACGCGGCTTACGCTCAGGCGCAGGCAGCGGCCATGTGGTCCATGTGGACCACCCATGACAGGCATCACCAACACCACCAGCACTCGGTGCGGTCGCGCAGGAGGTCCCACAGACAGAGGAAGGACAGCATCGGCACGGCCAGCCCTAGCAACAACAGCACCAAGGCCGGCACGAGCACCCTCAACGCCGGCACCCCGCAGAGCACCACAGCCACGGCGAGCGGCTCAGCGACGGTCAAGGAGGCCGTGCAGGCCTCCCCGCCCAACCACCCTCCCACACTGTCATGCGAAATCATCCTTGATCCACCGGATCAGTCGCCCACCGACAACAGCCCCTGTCGATCGTCGCGTATGAGTGGTGGCGGGGTGAGCGGGGTGGAGAGCGCTGCTGAGGGAGGAATGCTGGTGAGGGATGACGACGACGGCGCGGGTGTTGGCCGCGTCGGAGACTCTGGCGAGAAGAGGGCGCTGGAGGACCAGCTCGTCAAGGTGATTCCTTACCACACATGACATGCAGATGGAGGGAGGGAGGGAGGCGAGCGTGTGACTGACGGTGGTGGTGTGTTTTGTTTGTTGCTATGTTCAGGCGCACCGCCAGATCGAGCAGCTGCAGATGGCTCTCCAGGCCAAACAAGGTACAAAGACGCACACTGCACTGCAAGTCCCTCCCTTTCTCATATGCACAAACATCGATCGCTCCGGTGTTGTGTTGTGTTGTGTTTCTCTCTCCTCTCGTCAGATCCTCCCTGGCCGTCAGGTCGCCCGCCGTCGATGCCGTCCTTCCCCTACCCCTACCCCATGGCTGTCCCCTTCCCGCCTCCCGCATGGCCACCCATCCTTCCCCCACGCTTCATCCCACCACCAGGCACCCTCTCACCGATCAACGAGGAACACCACCACCACCACCACCATCATCGCACACGTGACCGCGACGCAGGCTCCAGCTCCACCCCGCCGACCAGCCCCAACGACGCACCGCTGTCGCTTCGGCAGGAGTTGTCTTCCTCTCCCTCCGTGAGTGAGGAGGAGGAGGAAGGAGGCGTGAGCGAGATGGATCGGCAGTTGACCGATGCGGCGGCGAGGCTGGCAGCCGACCAGCGGAGTGCCTTCCAGAAGGTCGAGTGGTCGCCGCCCGTCGAGGAGCCGATATACTTCATGGCCAAGATGGACATGATGTCACAGGGCTCGCCCACCACAGCGTCCCACGGACACGAGGCTGACGACGACGACGGCCCTTCGCCGTACTCGCCACCGTGGCAGCAGCCATCCTTCTTCGCCGCCCCAGCCCTTCCCTTCATGCCCCTATCTCGTGCGCCATCGGCCGGCCACGGCCAGACACCCCTCTCGCGTGTGGGCAGCCCCCCATCGCAGGTCACGGTCAGGCGGGCGGGCGCGAGGCACAATGAGGATGACCCGAGCGGCCTCAGCAGTGCCAGTGCGTCCTCCCCGCTCTTCAGGACACGCACGCTGCCTTGCCGCCAACCACCAGCACCATCGGCACCATCGGCAACCGACAAGAGGAGACGCAGGAGCGCCGGCAACGGCAACGGCAGTGGCAGCGGGCGCAGCAGGGCGGCCACTCCCTCGCACTTTGACCCGAAGCAGAGCCCCTACTACCCCTCAGACAAGGACCCCTGGCCGTCTGGCCTTCCCAGGCGGAAGCAGAGCGGTCTCAGGGAGCCCCAGAACACGCAAGTCAGGTCTGGCCGCAAGTCGTCTCTTCCGCGTGCGGCCTCTTCGCCAGGCCGCCGGCCGTCTCACCAGCCGACATCGCTCCCACCACGATCCCAATCGGCCCGGAGCGGCAAGGCCACCTCTTGTCGGCGGCAGAAGAGGCCGCCGTGGCTGGAGCGCTTCAGGGACATCCTGAGGGAGGGGCGGCCTCTGGAGGAGTGGCTCACGGCCGAGCTCGGCATCGAGGAGACCATCTTGCCTCCGGATCACCAGCGTCACCAGGGGCACCGCAGCCGCCCCCATTCCTCGAGTGTCCACCGCCCGCCTTCCGCCATCGCAGAGGAGGAGGAGCAGTCGCCATTCATGGCCCGAGAGGATGAGGGTGGTGAAGACGACTCCCCGGTGGAGAGCCACGCGCCGCCACAGCCGCCCGGCGACGATCCTGTCGACTTGTCGCCAGCCAGTGGTGTGTCCGGCACCGACCTGGGCAGACGGTCACGGGCGGCGGCGACGCGGCTGCCTTTCGTGGAGTCGCCTGTGATGGTCAATGGCAGCATCTCGTCGGCGAGGCAGGGCCACAGTCATGGTGCGGGTGTCACCAGTGGGTCCTCATCGCATCACGGCAAGGGGGTGTTCGGCCTATCGGACATCGACGTCCATGAGGGGGTGGAGATCCCACACCACTTCCTCCAGTTCCACGCCAGAATGGGCTCCTCCCAACAGTCAGAAGCGCAACACCAGCAGCAGCAGGAAGACGGAGACTCGCCATGCATGGGTGTGGGAGAGACCGATGAGGTCAGTGAGGACGATGGGCATGTGACGCCCATAACGCCCAGCGGCAGGAGTGAGGGCGTGCTGGCCAGCGGGATTGTGGCGCTGGAGACCCGCATTGCCAACCCCGAGGCGCTGCGGCAGAAGGACCCTCAGCCCGGGGCCATCATCGGACCACCCCCACCAGACACAAGGACCAACAGAAGTAAGCAACCCCACACGCACCGCACAGGCGCTACGCGCGCAACACCAACGGCAACTCACATCATATGTATACCTGTCTGTCTGTCTCTTTCTGTCCCTCTGTCTGCGTGTAGATGCCAAGCAGCATTCCACCACCCGTCGGAACGCGCCTCGTGACGCCCCCGATGAGTCGTCTCCCTGCGCTTCCCAGTCGAGCGGGCACGTGTCCGTGGCGTCTTTCAGTTCAATGCGCGAGCGTCAGCGGCTGCGGCCCTACTGGGCCATGATGAAGCGGCACTGGGACTGGCAGCAGCAGCAGAGAAAACAGAGACGCACACAGCAGGGCGACAGTACGCTGCAGCTGCAGAAGGGAGAAAAGAGCCCGTTTTCGGCCTATTACGCCACACACAGGTGAGAAGGGACTGGATAGGGAGTTCGGTGCGTGGTGAGGAATGGGGTGTCTGTCTGTGTGTATGTGTTGGTTGGTTGGTGTAGATATGACCCCCCGCCTCGTTCGCCTGTCGGTCGTGACAATACTGGTGGTGGTAATGGTGCTGGTGGTGGTGAAAGCGACGCAGGGGTCTCGTCAGGCTGACCGATTTTTGTCCATCCCATTCTGTCTGTCTGTCTATCTATGTCTGTTTATATGTGCCTTTGTTCTGTCTATCTGTCTTCATCCGCTAGTTACTGTGTGTCGTGCGGGGCTTTCTCGAATCGAAGCAAGCTTGTTTGGCCCCCTCCCCCTTCCCCACCCCTCCCCCCTCTCTGCCTTTATCTATCCTACCCATCCTGTCTATCTATCTCTCTGTGTGTGGTGGCTTTGTGGTGTGTTGCTGCTGGGTTTGTTGTGTTCCCTTGTGGCTTTAGTAGATAGAATTCGTTGGCCGACTGACATGCGTGCATGCGTGTTGGGGCTGATGGATCGATCGATTCGATCATGATGAATGAGGAGATGAGCGGGGCGGCCGGATGGATGGATGGACGGATGGATGGATGGATGGATGGCAGCTGCTGCATACATACCTATATCTCTCTCTATATATTATATACCCTTCCGTCTCTCTCTCTCTCTCTCTCTCTCTATCTCTAGTGGCTACTTTTTTCCGAAGGACAGACATACAGACAGACAGGCAGACAGACAGGTGAGGTATCGGCAAGTAAGTGGCTCGGGCGATGGTTGGTTTCGTGAGCATAAGACGCTCACGAGATGGACCTGTTTGATATATATACGATGAGCCTTGAGCCTTCCTTCTTTGAGACACCACACCCTCTCACTGATGCACCACACCACCACACACGCACATGCCGGGATGCCGTCAGTCATCTGTCTGTCTATCCGTCCGTCTGTCTATCTATCTGTCTATCTGTCTGTCTTTGGTGTATCTCCTTTCTCATACTGAGGGATGAGGAATGATCCGTGTGTCTCTGGTGAACCGACCGACAAGCAACCAACTGTTTTCTCAAGCAAGCATGTCTGTGGATTGGATCGATCGCTGGGAGAGATGAGAAGGGCAACGCACGCACTCAATCATGCATGCAGCCATCCCATCCGCACACGCACACACACGAGGGACGGTTGTCAGCCAGCCAGCCAGCCAGCCACATACACTACACAGTCTTCCTGCTTCCCCCCTATGTTATTCTTCCCACTCACCTGCCTGAGCTGAGCTGTCAGAGCAGAGAATTGGTGTCTGTCCACACGTGCACACACACATGCGCGCACACAGATCTGACTGACTGACCCGACTGGCCTCTTGCACACTCACACTCTCACAGACCTGACGGACGGACTGACACTCTCTCACACTCACACTCACACTCACACTCACCGGACCACTCTGGCACACAAGGGAGGCAGAGGCCTGAGCTGACTGACTCTACGAAGGCGTATTCTTCTTTCCTCTGCTCGCTCAGATGGAACAACAGGGATGGAGGGAGGAGGGGGAGGGAGGGACCCTACAGCAACGTACGTAGCACGGACATACATACGCCTTGCCATTTTCGCCTTTCTCCCCCACTCCACTCATGATGGGCCTTTCCTGCCTGCCTGCTTGTCACTCATCGCCTCGCCGGCACCCCAGGTGAGACAAAGAGTACGCAGGTGTGCATGAAGGTCCATCAAGAGAGGGACGGGAGACGGCAGCGGCACTGCGAGGCTACCCAACATCATATGTACCGGATGAACATATTGCGTGGTCGCTGCTTGCTTCAAGGTCGGTTTCCGTTGCGAGCTGCCTGACTGCAACGACACCGGGATCGAAAAAACTCGGTGTCGTTGTTATCGAGCAGCTCGTGACGTGGCCAACTGTGAAGCGACGGCCGTACACGTGTTTGTCCAACTCAATCAAGTGCTTTTGGAGAAGGCCTGTCTGACTCTTCGGTTGAGGGCCTTTCTGGCAGACATGTCTACACGATGATTTGGTGTCAGTCATATGATAGATAGGGTGTCGGCCGGCCGCTTTTGGCTACGCGCGTCGTGTGCGGTGCGCCGCGCCTCATCCGTACACACATACATACAGTACGAACCAATGCCCCCTAGTCGATGTCATGCATGTCGATGGATGCGTGCAACTGCCTGCCTGCCTGCCTGCCTTGGGTCAAACGCCCTCGACTTTATATTGATTGCATGGATGCCCAGCTGGATAACATACATAACCCACACACACCTCATTTACTGACTGCTGTGCTGTGTGTGGGCAGTGGAGAAGAGTGGGACAGACAGTGCGTGAGGCTGGTGTTGATCGTCATTCAGGTCGGTCTACCTACCTTCGTATACACACACACACACATGTACTTACATGTGTGTGGATCCGATGCATTGCATGTACGTGCACGGCACGCAGGAGTGTTTCAGTCAGTCAGTCAGTCAGTGAATGAGCCCATCGATTCGATGTGTGTGAGTCAGTCAGTCAGTCAGTCAATATATTATTGTCATATCACTCAGTCACTAGTAGTGCCATCACCCATCCACCCCTCCATCCATCCATCCACAACTGCTACCGTATCTATCGTATGCCTGACCAGTGAGTGAGTGACAGACAGGGCAGGTTGGTTGGGTGGGTGGGTGGGTGATGTGAGTGAACAGGGAGGGACATGTGACATGTGACATGACATGTGCAGTGAGCAACCGAGGAGGCATCCATCCTTCAGGGAGGCGAGGAAGGTACCATGACTGACATGGTATCGACAATCTTGGCTGGCCTTTTTTAGTATGCCTTCGTATACATACCTGCGTGTGTGTGTATGTGTATGTGTGTGTGTCAAAGACCATCACAGACCCCATGAGATGAGACGAGCTTTTGTTCCAAGCAATGGTTTCGACCAAATTTGTCGAGTTGTCTGCAAGCTCAGCTCGCAATCAGAAGCGCGCCCCTTCTTCATTTCCTCATCCCGAAGCCCGATTGCGCGTGTGCGATGGTGGCCGGCCCGCTGGCATCGGCCTCGCCGGAAGATCTGCTCCAAGGCATCCTCGATGCGCGCAGCGTCGCCCAAGCCACCGAAGAGCTCAAGGCGCGGCTGAAGCATGCACCCTTCTGCGTCGACCTCCTGCGCATCGTCACCACCCACCCCAATCCCAACATTCGGCAGCTGGCCGCAGTGCTCATGCGCAAGAAGATCGCAACCAACCTGGGCCGCCTCGACAATGCGACGCAGAGCCAGATCAAGGCGACGTTGCTGGAGCGGATTGTCAAGGAGGACAGCCACTTGGTGCGCGTGGCGATAGCGCATGTGGTGAGTGCGGTGGCCAGGGTGGATTATGGCGAGTGGGGGGCGGAGCTGCTCAACTTTTTGAACCAGTGCATGGAGAGCGGCGAGGAGGGGCCGCGGGAGGTGGCCATGATGGTGTTTGGCAGCGTCATCGACAACATGGAGACCAACATCGCCAACTACTTCAACCAATTTGTGGTTGTCTTCAACAAGGGTCAGTCAGAAGTCAGCTGACCTGCATATACCACACCCACACACGATGGACTTAATGATGCTCCTCTTCCTCTCTCTCCCTCTCTCCTTATGTGGCGCAGGTCTGAATGACGCGAGCAGCATGAAGGTGCGGATAGCGGCGGTCAAGGCTGTGTCGTCATTGACGCAGATTGTCGAGACCGAGGAGCAGGCCACGGCCTTCAAGACACTCATCGGCCCTCTGGTGCGGGTCGTCGAGGCCGCTCTGCAGCAGGGCCATGAAGACACCGCTGTGCTGGCAATCGAAATATTCGACGATCTGGTGAGCACGGCCACCGGCAGACAGACTCTGTATGTTTGTATGTGCGGTGTGTGTGGATGGGTCGACCCGACACAGGTTGAGTGCAATGTGGTCTTCTCGGCTCAAGACCTGCCGGACATTGTCAAGTTCATGCTCCACATCGCCGCTAACACGCGTGAGCCGACAACAAGAGACAGACCGACAAGCAGACAGACAGATAGACAGACAGACAGACAGCATCCGCGTGACAGTTTTTGAACATTTTCTGCTTGTGATTGTCTGTCAGATTTGCAGACGGGCACCCGCAGCCAGGCCCTGACCTTCCTGCATTGGGTGTGCAAGAACAAACCAAAAGGTGCGCTGCGTTGCGGTGTGAGAGGGCTTGGCGGGCCAGGCCACACCACCACACCACACAGCGTCCTGTACTGTACGTGTGTGTGGTCGTCTGTCGTCTGCAGTGGTAACGCGCAACCAGCTGCTGCCTGCCATCCTCAACGTGATCCTACCCATGGCAGCCGAGCCCGATGAGCATGACGAAGAAGGTAACTAAGCTCGATGCATTTATGCCACGCTGGAATGGAACCACACACATGCACAGGTATATATGTGTGTGTGTGTGTAGAGGAGGAGAGTCCCTCGACGTTGGCGGCGTCGACCCTGGACACGGTGGCTCTGTCGCTGCCGGGCACGCAGGTCTTCAACGTGGCCATAGAGGGCATCGGGCAGTACAGCCAGTCCACCCACCCCAACCAGAGAAAAGCAGGTGGGTATCGATGACATGACGACATAGACAGACAGACACAGGGAAGGACAGGGCAGTCGCCGTTTGTGTGTGTGTGTGTGTGTGTGTCAGCGATGACTCTGCTTGGGATATTGTCTGAGGGGTGTGCCGAGACCATGAGGAGGCAGCTCGACCAGCTGCTGCCCTTCGCCCTCAAGTGACACACACACACACACATCAACACACACACAACCGTCTGTGTCAATCATCAGGGCTTTTGAGGACCCCCAGGCACTAGTTCGTGTGGGCGCAGCGACGTGCATCGGCCAGTTCATTGGTGCGGAGCAAAGATACACACAGACACAGACAGACAGACAGACAGACACCTGCACACACACATTATCGTGATTGGTGTCCATCTCCATGTGTGTGTGTCCGTGTGTGTGTGTGTTCAACCAACCAAGGGGCTCTCAGAGTACCTGCAGCCGGAGATATTGAAGCGGTATAAGCAGGTCATGGACGTGGTGCTGCACACACTCGAGGCCAACAGCGGCTCGATCGTCGTCCAGGAGAAAGTGCTATACGGTACAATACATACGGTGCCAAGGAAACATATATGGGAATCCCCCTCCCTCCCTCCCTCCCTCCCTCCAGCACACGTCTGTCTGTGTGTCTTTCTGTTGGGATGTTTGGTGGGTTCAGCCCTGATGGTGTTGATAGACCATCTTGAGGAGGACCAGCTTGCGGCCTATGTGCCTCACGTGCTGCCCAAGATCATGGCCACCCTCATGACACGTACGTAAATACAGGACACAGACAGACAGACAGACAGAGCATCCATCCATCTGAGGGAGGGGTGGGGGTGTGTGTGCAGTGCTGGCTCAGACCAAGGCCGACGACTCGTTCAGGCTGACATTGCTCAAGGAGAGCTGCATCAACGTCATCTCGTCTCTCGCAGGATCGGCACAAAAAACCGTAAACACAACGCACCACTGACCAGAACAAAGGTAACCACAATCACTCGTCCCCCCTCCCTGCCTCAGTTTGCCCCCTACAGCCAGGAGGTCTTGGTGCACCTGGAGCCCGTCGTCAAAATCACAAACACAAGTAAATACTCTCTCACACCCACACAAACCACAACGACCGCACAACGAACGAACATCTATCCACTCGTGGAGGGAGGGATCGTGTCGTCGTCTGTGCGTGCCGTGCCTCACTCACTCAGCGTCGACTGAGGAGGGCTCCCCCTTTGTTGCGCTCCGTGCCAAGGCCACCGACTGTGTGGGCGCCATCGCACAGGCCATCGGGCCAGAAGCTTTCGCGCCGTTTCTGCCCGTCTTCTACCCACTCGTCAAACAGGTGTGTGCAGTGTTTGACGAGGGAGCCGGGTGGGCATGGTTGTGGATATGTGTGTGTGTGGTGCAGGGTTTGAGTGAGATATCCGACCACGCTCTGCGTGAGAACTCTTTCCGCTTCTTCGCCTGTCTGGCCTTCTCAATGCGGGAAGCATTCGCACCATACCTTAACGTCAGTCGTCAGTTGGCCCACTGCTTAAAACAGAGCAAACACGTTACCCAATCGTGCTACATGGCGACACACATGCCTCTCTCTCTCTCTGTGTGTGTGTGTGTGTGTGCTTAGGATGTCTTCCCCTCTCTGGTAGAGACGGCCATGTCTGACAAGTTTGAGACCTTCACACACCAAGATGAACACGGTCAGACAGACGGCCAGCATATCATAGCGGCTCAACGACACCCACCAGGCCGTGTGTGGTGTGGACGGTGTTGTGTCAGATCCATTGTCAGGTTTTGATGATGAGGAGGACGAGGAGGACGAGAGACGGATCGCCGGCATCTCCATCAGAACCGGTGTGAGGGGAGGTGGGGGGGTGCGGGGAAACAGCGGTCGGTGTGTGGGTTTGTGTGTGTGTGTGTGGGTTAGGTTACTTGGATGAGGTTGAGTCGGCAGTGTACGGGCTGCAGGTCTTCACTGACGCCCTCGGGCCACACATGCACCAACACCTCAACAGGTAAGTAGATAATCTTATCCTAGATAGGTCGGTCGGTGGGGTGGCCAGTGACCCAATCCACACAGCCCTTCAGACTGAGCGGGCGGGCGGGCGGGCGACCCGACACGATCACATCTGTGCACACCGTGCCCTTATTTAATTGGCTTCTGTACGTTCGTGTGTGTGCATGGTATGCCATGCAGCTTGGTGCTGATAGTCGAGAAGCTCCACTGCCACTTCCACTCATCGATACGGCAACGGGTGGGTTGGCAAGGCAAGGCAAACACTCCACCCCCGCCCCGCCCCCATGCCAACCAACCAAGCCACCCCTCTCTCATGCCCACCCCACCCCGCAGGCGTTGAATCTCGCCGAGGCCATCATCCTGAACATCCACCGCACCCAGCCGCCCCCCTGGTTCACCCCCCCGGCCAAGAGCGGTACCACAGGGGAGGGGCAGGTGAGGAAGTCGGAGGTCTCCCAGTGGAAGCCGGGGCTGCCCTGCCAGTCGCCGCTCACCCAGAACTGCCAGGACGGGCTGAGCAAGCTGTGGCCTTTCGTGTGGAAGAACGTCAAGGAGGTGCCTACATGGAGTGGTGGGGGTGGGGTGTCTGTCTTGTTGGTGAATGTGTGGTTGGTTGGTTGGTTGGCTGTGTGTGTGCAGAGTGATGAGAAGGCCGTTGTGTCTGCCGCATTGGATGGTTTGTAGGCGGACGGAGAACGGTGTCCATCCATCCATCCATGGTGTCTGTCTGTCGGTCATTCGTGTCGTGTGCAGTGACATCAGAGCTGTGCGAGATCCTGGGGCCGGCCATGGTCGAAGGCATCTACAAAGGTCTGTCTGTGTGGTGGGTCGGTGAGGTGATCGGCACTCGACTCGCATGTTGCTCCGTGTGTGTGTTCAGATCTGCTGTCGGTGTGCAGTGAGCTGCTCCAGTGCAAGCACCCCTGCCAGGACTCCGACGATGACCTCGATCAGGTAGGTCCATCGTCACCACCACCACCACCACACCACAACTCTCAGGTTGCTGCACTTCCTCTCTGTCTCTCTGCCTGCGTGCAGGATGAGGAGTCCCGCACAGCCGAGGAGGAGCTCTTCGAGAGCCTCTCCACACTCGTGGGCGCCATCGCCAAGGCCATCGGCAGCTCCTTCCAGCCCCTCTACGAGCAGCTCCACCCACTCATCCTCAGACTCGCCGCACACAAACGATCCAAAGTCTACAAGTAACACGCTCGGGCGACTAGCTAGAGGGCGTGCTGTGCTGTGCTGTGTTGTGCTGTGTCCACCGTACCGCTGTGGTGTCTGTCTGTCATGATGGATGCACTTTGCAGGACGATTGGTCTCGGGTGCTTCGGCGACGTAATTCAGGCGATGGGTGGTTCGGCAGCGCGTTATGTGGACCAGGTGCTGCCGCATGTGGTGCAGGGCGTGCAGCAGGACGAGGACTGGGACCTCAGAAGAAACGCCGTCTTCACGCTGGGCGTCCTCTACGAGGTACGGTACACACCTGGCTGCCTGAGGGTATGGTGTCTGGCTGGAGAGGTGGTGGGTGGGGGGATGGATGTAGGTGGGGGAGGGTGTGGCGACGCTGGAGCAGCAGATCATGCCCATCCTGCAGCTGCTGCAGCCCTTCTTCGCCAACGAACAGACCAACACTGACGCAGAGGTACGTGTCCACACAGCCACCACCACACACCCCGACAAGGCGGGTCCCCATCCATTCATCCATGTTGTGTGTATGAGTGGAGTCCACCAGGAGTATGACGACGTGGAGGCGGCGAGTGTGGACAACGCGGCCGCGGCGGTCTGCAGGATCATTCTCAGGGTCAAGGTCGACGCGCTGCCCATCCCACAGGTCTGTCTGTCTGTCTGTATCTATCTCCCTCCCCCTGTGTGACCCTACAGATAGACCAAAGAGATATATGTGTCGTGGGGTTGTGTGAGTGAGTTGTGTGCCGTCCACCCACCATTTCCCTTTCGTGTATCAGTTGCTGGTTGGCCTGTGCCGTGTGCTGCCGCTGCGAGTCGACGCGGATGAGTGCTCTATCGTCCTCAAGGCAAAAATGGCCACACGGCAATCTCGTGCATGACACACATGGCTCCATCCATCTCTCTGTGTGTGCGTGTGTGCGGGTCGGTCTCACTCACAGTGCCTATTGTATCTGTTCCACACGCCCCAGACGCAGGCCCACCTGCAGCCGCACCTGCACGACCTCGCTAAGGTAAGTAGGTCTGTGAACATATATACATCACACGGCAATATAGTTGGCTGCTCGAGGGTGTGTGGATCGTCAGATCGCCGTGTGTGAGCTGTTCAATGACAAGGCGGACATCGATGAGAACACCAAACAGCAGGTAACTAAGTGAGTCGGTGAAGTGCGAGATGGATGGATGGATGGACCCAACTCACTCACTGGACTCCTTCCCGCCGTTGTGCGCATTGTCGTGTGTGTGTGTGTGTGTGTTGCACCCCACATATATCACTCACATGACATCCAGGTTCGGTTGCTGCTGCAGCAGCTGGCCCCAAAGCTGAAGGAGAACCCCCAACAACACAGAGTGAGTAAGATCCTGACTGCCCGCAATGACGGCAGCCGCGAGCGTGCTTATGTTAATCGGTGCGGTCGGTGTGGCGGGTTTCTGTGGATCCCTCCATATGTCCATTCAGGCGGTGTATGAGTATCTGAGCAACAGCTCCACCCAGGCAGCAGTGGAGTTCTACCAGCAGCTGTGACTGTGGGGTGTGTGTGGCGGCGAGATGCGTGTGTCTGTCTGTGCAGAACAGTGAGTGGCAGGGGGAAGGAAGCTGTGTGTTCAGTCCTTTATCTCTCTGCCTGTCACTCACTGTGTGGTATTGGATGGACTGACTCGATTGTCTGTCGACTCTCGTCGGTTATATAAGGGGTCTGTCTGGGTCGATCGATGGATGGCCGACATGCACACCGACACAGCCAGCAAGACACAGACAGACAGACAGACAGACAGACAGCTAGGCGAGGCACTGCGCGACAATGTAGCGTCCCTCTGATCCGGATCTAAAATGTAGCCCGCAATCTGATGACCTCTCGTCCACCTCATACTCTGACAACTCCCACACTTACGCTAGTCAAGCCAAAATCACATGCACAGGTGAAACCGTTCCGATAAAATTGTGATCGGTGGTCGTTCGTTCCTCAGCGGGTAGCGGTGCGGAAGGTTGGGTTGGACACGGAGGGGAGAGAGAAACTTCCGATACTGAATATGTGCATCTGTCTGATGTATCCGTCATGTTTTCATGGTTCAGATCCTTGATGAGGCGTGTGGGGTTTGTGTGGGGTCGAGGGTTAGTTTTGTCGGGCTGGGGCTGATGTGGGGCTGTGGGGCCGAGCATGCATGCCGCTGAGTGAACGAACGAGTCTATAGACAACAAATGTATGACCGTCTGTATCTACAAACCTAGTTACTTAGTCGGTCAACAAACACACGCACCTAGAACACCAACTTAATCAAAACAACCAAAGCAAAACAAAACACCACTGCCTGAGCCCAGACTAAAAGTCTCGCCGAATACTCACGGCGATAAAGTGCGCAGCCAAGCTGCTCTGCGCACTTCAAACCACGACCAACGCCAGACGTAGTCCACCTCTTTCGAGACCGATTTCAACACCCAAAACTCCCACTACCAGCAGCGTCAGAAGGAAGTTCAGAAAGACCCAAGGGAGATATCTCCAGGAACCGGACTCATATGCTGCTCTCTTCTTCTGGTCAAGGTAGGGCTGGAAGAGATCCAGAAAGAACTGCTCCAGATACCATCGCTCCACTGGCTGGGCAGCGGGCTGCGCTGTCGGTGCCGCGTCGTACCTGACGCGCACACGCACACACACACAACCACACACACACGTGAGAACGAATGAGAACAGTGGTGCGCATCTCACCTGACGCGGTGCTCATTCCTCGGGCGTACTCCGGGCGGCAGAAGCTCGAAGTATCTCCGCTCTCCATTCTCCTTCACGTAGTACCGCATTGGAAGGAAAAGGCTCTCGAAGACAGGGACCAGATCCCGCGTCCCGGGGAGGAACGCCACCGCCCGCCCTCCCCCCGGTACCTCAACTTGCCGCTCGCCCATCGCGAGTATGAAAGAAATAAGCCAGTGATGAAGGATTGGGATTGCTCGAAGGTCGAGGTATCTCCGCTGTCCATTCAGCTTCACGTAGTACTCCTTGGAAGGGTCCTCGAACACATCTTCCAGATCCCGCGTCCCGGGGAGGAACGCTACAGCTTTCTCTCCGCGCGGTCCCTTCGCTTGTCGGTCATTCCACTGCATCGCGAATAGAAGTCGAGGTGGAGACCTTTTCTGTATCTACCCGTCGTGTCTACCCCTAACTCCGAACCCTGCCCCTAACCCTAACCCCTATCTTCCGTCTGTGTGGACGTACCGTACCCCCAGACCCCGCCGACGCTCTCTAACTTCTTTCTACAGGGTTGTGCTTCAGGGCTGTGCTTAGCTTACACAAACCGCTAAGTCCCCGCGCCACCACAACCATGCACGTGGTCCATGGACCTCGAGCAAGCGAGCTCATGAGACAATGAAACACCTTTCCTTTACCCACACCACAGAAGACGCACCTAGCTAGCTATATGTCCACTTTCAGGTCCTTGAGTTCCTCTGGCGGCAGGATGGTGTCTTTGCCAAAGAGGAAACGCGTGGGGCTGTCGGGGGCTTGGGAGGGGTCGGGCGGCTGACCACATGTCACACACACACACACACACACACACAGGAAGACCATCGATGGACACATACATGCAGATGAGACATCACCGCAGTCTCCGTGTGTGTGTTGGCTTCCTTTCCCACTTACGAGTTCGACGCCGATCCTTTTGCAGATTTTGATGTAGTCATCTCTCGAGACCTGAGTCTCCACGCCAAATGGCAACCTGACACACATGACATGACACACAGACAAGCGGAGAGCACCTGTGTCTGTGTGTATGTGTATGTGTATGTGTATGTGTATGTGTATGTGTGTGGATGGATGGGATGGTGTCGTCTTGCCTTGCCGTGTGGGCCCACCTGATGTCGAGTTGGTCGCAGACCTTCTCCAGGTCAGAGGTGCGCATCTTGAACTTCCGACCCAAATCGATGATGTCACGCTCAATGTAACTGCACCACACACCACACACCACACACCATTCACAGTGAGTGACGCACAAATATGCAGTCTGTGTCCGCATGGCTCGTGGTGCGCACAGGTCATCGAGGTCAAATGGGTCAAAGTAGTGGACCGTCTCGATCAAATGCCACACAAACTCGCCAGAAATCAGCTCCTGAAACCCATCCATCCATCCATCGATCCATGCAACGGAAATGGCGTGTTCTGGTCCACCTACCTTGACGGGCACATCGAGTGGAACCGGTGCAGGCGCCCCCCACTTGCAGCACACGTCACCCAGGAAACGCAGCGGCACGTGGTAGTGCTCGTGGATCTCCTGCACACACACATACACACGTACACACATCAATCCATAAAGGAGCGGCCCGAATGCGTGTTGATGCCTTGCGGCCGCCAGCCCACCCCCCACCCGACCCACCCACCCCCGCCAAGGCACCCACCCACCATGAGTGTGAAGGTGCCCATCCCTTGGCTCCGGTCGACGAATCTGCGCTTCTGCTGGACAGCCAGCTCCTGCACACACGTGCGGCAGGGTCACCATTATCACTTGTAATCCATAGTGCGTCCCGTTCCTTACTGTGCCCATACATACCGGCCCGCCTACCGGGTTGTGTTCGAGAGTGATGCTGCCCTCGGGCATGTCCCCCTGGTTGCCGATCTTGTAGTACTTCTCGATCTCAGGCCACTGGTCGGCAGGCCAGCGGCCAGACACTGCCACACCACACCACACCACCCGATGAGCCACGCGTGTCTGTCTGTCTGTCTGTCTGGTTGTCTGGTTGTCGGTGTGGTGCGTACGTCCTCCCTCGACGTATCCGATGTCTGTGAGGTTCTTGTCATCATCCGCAAGTGCCTTCATCTTCATCTCCTCAGCCATCTGGTCCCACTCGTCCTGCCAGCTGCAGATCCAACGACGCTGACACGAACGAACACAACAACACACCCGCACAGACAGATAGAGAGGGCACGAATGAATGGATCCACAGGTGCCATCCTATCCTGCGGTGTCCTCACTCACCCTCTCCAGCTCATCGATTTTCTCGTCAACCTCCCTCATCCTCTTGGCCAGCCTCAGCTCGATAGGCTCATCCGCCAAGACGTCATCTCGACTGACACCCTCAGACCCCTCCATCTTTCTCTTGTCGTCGAGCGCCGCCTGCTCGGCCTGCCGCTCCTCCCGCAGCTCACGTATGACCTCATCGCTCTGGATCTCCAGCTCACTCTTGGGCCGCTCAACAGGGTCGCGCAGCTGCTTGGGGTTGCGCATGGCGTCCTTGAGCCTGCACGCACCGATGGACGGATGGATGGATGGATGTTCCTGCGTGTGAGGGTGTGAGGGTGTACCTACCGTTGTCTGATTGTGAAGTTGGGCCCTCGTGTCCTGTATGCCCGGTAGGCCAGCTCACACTGCACCTGATACGCATCCATCATGTCGATCTCCGCATCAGTGTAGTTGGTGAGGGTGTCGGGATGCGTCGGCATGATCAGTCCGGCCGGTTGGTTGAGCTGCCTCAGAGTCTGCCGGGCCTCGTGGTACCGTGGGTCGGTCAGCGGGTCATAGTCCTCAGGGTCCGGCTCGTACGGAATGTCCGGCTCGTCATTGCCCGGCAGATCCTTGGCGAAGAAGGCGTCCATGTTTAGTCGACCTGTTGACACCAACCAGAAGCATGCAGACAGACAGACCAACATTCATTCGCACGCACCATTAATTGCTTGCCCTTGGCTGCGTACCCACCTGGTTGGAGCATCACTGAGTGCAGCGCAGTGACTGGTTGCCGTCTGTGTGCAGACGGCAGGGGAAAGAGGGGCCGTTCGACAGCAAACGCCTGGACAGATCCGCGGATGAAGGCGTCCACACGGGCAGCGAGCAGCAGCAGAGCAGTCGGTGCGATGCTTCCCAATAGGGAACAGGATAAGCATGGTGCAGCCACTCGACTCATCCCCAGCGTAGCTATGAACCAAGATCTGAGATGTGCATGGCGTAGGCTCCAGATCGACAGCAAAAAGGCGAGCAACAGATCTCCCTGCGAAACACATTGCGAGCTATGGGGGCAAGTGGGGGCCTGAGACGGCATCCTCACACCGCCAACGATGGGTGCATTCGCGTCCAGCGTGGCCCACGACCCTCTGCTGGGTGACACTCTCCGCTGCGCCGTTGCCCTTCATGACGTGCGAAATGTGCATCTGAAGCCCAACGAGAAATGGTCTGTAGAGATCTGCTGCAGGAGGGGGCCATTAATCTCACCCGCCCTCTGTCTGCTGGCTTGTCTATCTGTGTGTAGGCTTGGCGTGCTGACGATGGGTGTGAGGCAGCAGAAAGAGGGAGCGCCAGCAGCAGCGATGGCAAGCGCCCAGACTTCGACACGCGTCATTCTGGCTCGGAAGCTGCCCGGTCAGTCAGAGAAGGGAAGAGACCCCGAGAGAGGCAGATCCTGCCATGGCTGTTGAGCACCATTTGGTGGATAGTTAGTTAATTCGGCTGTTTTGTGTGCAGGTGAAGTGTATCTGGCCAAGAGTTCTATGTTGACCTTGGAGGTATTCAGCTATGAGGATTCGTCGGGCGAGGAGGAGCGGCGCATCTACGAGAGCTCACCGCAGTCCATATACATGCCCAGAATTGTCATCAACAGAGGTGCACGCGACGGAAGGCCTGCTCGTCCAGTGTGTGTGTCTCTCTCTCTCCCTGTCTCTGTGTGTGTGTCCTGGTGGTGGGTCAGGTTCGGTGGTGATTCCGGTGTGGGCCTTCACCGAGGACATTGGCTACCAGCTCTACCACACATGGCAAGTGGAATCTGCAAGGAATACCGACTGCCACACGAGAGACACACACAAACGCGGTCGCTGATATGGTTGTTTGCCAGGCTGCGTCTGGCGGGCATCCCGTCGGCGGGCGCCTCCTCGTCTTCATCATCATCAGCATATGGCGTGGCGGGCGGCGATGTGTCCCACCCGCCACTGCCGTCACGCATGGGCATGCAGAACGGACTCTCGGGAGCGGAGGAACACGCTATCAAACAAACGTGTACACACACACACACACAGGACAGGGAATACGTCATGTGGGCGTGTGTGTAGTTTTGTCGAGTCTTGATTTTTCTGAGGGTGGCTCGGCCAAGGAGAGGATGGTGTGTGTGAGCATCACGCCGGTCATCGACTGGGCCAACAACAACATATACCCACTCGACGAACACCCACACGTACGTGACGTGAGCCATTCATTGCTGCAGCGGGACACAGGCAGACCAGACACAAGAATTTAATCAATCGGCTGTGTGTGTGTGTGTGTGTGTTCTTCCTTCAGGAGGCCATCAAGGCCCGCAGGTACGCGCCGCTGCTGTACTCCCACACACAGCACCTCTACCTCTGCAAGGTCAGATCGACGGACACAGTAACTAACAAAGGGACACACAAACAGCAGACGGCGGATGTTGTGTGCTTATGAATGATAGGGTCTGCACGAGACGCTGCAGTGGGCGCTGGCCGGCGAGGATTTGCTGGACACCACGCTGGGCACCGCCTCGTCGCCAGTGACAGCATCACCAGGCAACTCACTCACTCACTCACTCACAACCAGACAGACAGCAAGCCAAGCACAGGGACAAATGCCACCCAATGAATGCTTGTTTCGCTTTGCAGATTTTGGTGGTGGTGACGTGGGCGACAGGGCGTATGTCGATGAGCTGCGGCGGTCGATCACCGCCAAGAAGGGCAAGATACAGGCACTCAAACAGTACTCAAGGTGAGTGAGGTGAGATGAGGTGGGCGGCACGGTGCCGCCTGCACTGTTATATTGTGTTGTGTTGTGTTGTGATGTATCATTTTATGGCGTCAGAGCGTTGGATGCCACGTGCAAGACGCAGCAGGAGACCATCGAGACGTTCGAGGCCACACACAAACAAAGAGTCGCCGCCGTACTCGCTGACGAAGAGGTCAGTCAGGGGCACGGCGCACCCACATTGGGTGTGGCTGCAAAACAAAAAACACACACGCATCCAGAGAACGGTGCGGTGACTGTCTGTCTGTGTGAGTGGAGTGCAGCGGAAGCACCACGAGCAGCAGGCGCTCATCACCCAGCTGCAGGACCGACTCACAGCCCTCGACCAGAAAGGCACCGTATCCCCAACCGCCGAACAAGACCTCAAAGACGCCAAAGTGCGCTTCACACGCACACAGATGTCCACTGCACAAATGGATTGGATGGATCTCGTGCTGCATGGCATGAACCAATCAGGCGTCTTTGGCAGAGAAGGAGGAGGCGCTCGGCCGCTTGAAGGAGCACGTGTCTAAGCTGGAGAGCGAGCTGGAGGGCGCACACAAGGAGTCCGAGAGAAGAGTCGAGTGGGCACAGGAGTTCGCTGAGGAGGCCAACCAACGTATATATAGACCCACAAGGAGACAGAGACGTGATGGGTGCACTGCAGCCCTTGTGTTGTGTGTGTAAATGATGCCTTGCAGGCCTTACTGCATCCAATTCCAAGATACGGTCAGCCAGCGCCACACTCACAGCACACAACACAGACACAATGCCCCCTGGACTCTGTTCGCACGCACCTGTTTCCTTCCTTCAACAGAGAGATGAACGCGCACGTGTCTCGGCTGGAGAAAGAGAAGCGCGACGTGGAGGGCAAGCTGGACGAGGCCGCCCGTCAGGTGGAGTCGCTGCGTCAGGGGCGTGAGGGGCTGCTCAAGGAGATCGAGGAGCTCGACAACAAGTACCAGGCGCTGCAGCAGGAGGACGAGGTGCTCCCCGAGCTGTATGAGCTGCGCATCAGATACAGAGACGTCGAGACGCAGCTGATCAACGAGCAGGAATCCAAAAACGTACAAACGTACCCACACACATGCACATACATACATCTCCATCCATCCGTCAGTCAGTCAAGGACACTCTCTCTTGTCTCTTGTGTGGTGTGGGTCCATGGTCTCTGTCGCATGAATCAAGGCCTTGATCACCCTGTTTGAGCAGCTGTGGAGCAACGTCACCGAGTCGGAGCGCAAGCAGCTGTCCTTCAACCTGCAGAGCATCTACGCCCTCAGCAAAAGCACCAAACAACCGCATACTACACAAGCTACCCCAGCACCTGACCAGCCCGCGCCCATCGAGGAAGAGGGCGAGGGAGAGGGAGAGGGAGAGGAGGAGTGCGAAAGCGAGACCGTCACCCCAGCTGCAGCGGCTGCAGCGGCTGCTGTCCACGGCGAGAGTGAGGTGAAGGATTTGTCGGTGTTTCTGCAGGACCTTTCGATCAGCCGGTCGCAGGTTCGCGTGCCGTGGAAATACGAAAAGGGCGCGCACAAGGGATGATGGATGGGTGTGATGGGTGTGGGGGCGTTGAGTGGCGGCTTTGCTCTGCTCCCACAGGCCGGGGAGGGGTGGTGTGGTGTGGGGGGTTTGTTTGTTTGTCTGGTTGGGCCAGTCCAGTCAGTCTCCTTCATTTCCATGTCGATCTTGTGGTTGCTGTGCTGCTCAGGGAGGGAGAAGGGATGCAATGATTGCATCTGATACTTTAAAGCAAGTCCATGGACACAGACAGACACACACACATATATGTCATGTGTATGGACGTACAAAAGGGACGGACGACAGACACGCGTCTGCATGCAACGCAGCAGGGGAAGGGATACATACATGGAATGACCGATCCGGGTGGTTGCTCGCCACGGGGGGGCGGGGGGGGTGGGGGGTGGGGTGGGGAGCTGCTTCTCCAAACAATCGATCAGTCAAGGGATGATCAACTCATTCACACACACACACGCAGACGCAGCAGAAGTACGCCTGCCAACCGCCCCACACCCGCCCATACCGAGCGAGCAGTAAACATCCCATTGCTATCACATCATCACGACACAGACTGCACACACATGGGGCATGGCATGGATGTGTGTGTGTGTATGAATTCGCGCCGGCCAGGGACACACACGACACGAATGAATGAACAGCAGGCAGAAACATAGATATCATATGGACGTCTGGAAGGTATGTACGCAGCACCCTATACTGAGTGACTAGTATACTGCCTGCCTGCCTGCCTGGCTGCCGGTCTGGCAGCCAGCCAGGCAGGAGTGTTGTTAGTGCTGCATCGCCCTTCCAGCTTCTTTAGCTGGTACTTCCGGGCCCTTCACTCATTACGTATACACACACCACACCCTCTTCCAATCTATCTATCTTATTGACATTCTTCTTATTTATCGAGACAAGAGAGAGAAGAGACCCATCACACATCAGCCAGCGAGCCCCCCCCCCCCCCCC